ATATATATATATATATATACCAACCGAAGTCGAACGATACGATACGCCATCACCTTACCGGCATAAAGCGTTGCCTCAAGGTATGTGTGAACCTGCATATGCTCTGTTTTGGTGGTGAATGGCTACAGGTTATTGTTAGACCTATTTCCTCTCTGAACCTCCCACAGTGGCGTTGGGACCCATATGTCATCTCGAATCTCTAAGCCGAGGTTTGTTTTAGCCAGTCTGATGTTTTGCTGTCTTCGAAAGTTGAATGCACACGGCTGCTGGTGGTCCTGTTGATTTTCTTACACCGACTGTTACAGAAAATTGAGCTGTTTTTACTGTATGATGGTACGACGACGTTAACAGCAGTGAAGTCTGTAAATGGGTGTTCAGTGTGAACTCCCCATTTTGGATGAAGTAAGATGGGTTGGGCACATTAAAGTTGTGGCTTTCCAGCGATTGTATTCCCGTACTTCGCTTATGCTGTTGGACCTGGTTGAAAAAAGGCCAATCAATGAGCAGGCATTCAGTGGTAACGAAGGTTAAGATTTGCCTGCAGGCGAGTGTGTCTCTCAGGTAGATGCTCCAAGGAAAATGGGTTCCGTCCACTAGGGACCATGTCCGGGACTCGAGATCGACGGAGAAAAAGTTGCTGTGAAGAGCTGAGACGATGACATTTCGCACCGTTGAAGGAATGGTAACCTAATCACCTTTCATACATCACCTGCATCAACCTTTCTGCTGTACTTTTTTGTTGTTTTGCAATTGCAATTTTGTAGTTTTTCAGTCCCGCAGTTGATTCACATTCCGCCGCTGTCTTTCTCTGGCACAGTTGGTCTTCCGGGACAGTTGTGAACATCAACAGAGGGTTGAACTGGGCGACGTTGATCCAGGAACCCCGGTTGTTTTCTAGAGAAATAACTGGCTTCATGTTTCTCACTTCATGTCGCACCGGAGTCTTCAGAATTTCAGGACAGCAAATCCGCCGATTATGCACAAACGGAGGGGCTAGACAAGACATAACAAAACTATCTCTGATCACTCCAATCCGTACGGAACCTCAGTTTCACGTGGACAACTTCGAGGACAACAAAACGAATATCACCACGTTACCGAGCCGTTTACGAATCGCATCCCAAAACAGATTTGGAGCTCATTGTGCTATTGGAGGTTAGCGTTATACACAATAATTATATTCTTTTCAGTTATCGTGGATGCTGGACCTCGCTATGAAACCAACAGAACAAACGGACTATCACATTTCCTGGAGAAGCTGGGATTTCATGTATGCCCTGTCATTCCTTCCTATATCTGTTATTTCAGTCCACCGAATCTTTCAAGGACAGAGATGCCGTTCAAGCCGTTATGGAAGAGTGTAATGCCATTTTTGATTGCCAAATATCGAGGTAAATAGAAAAAATGCTGTGACGGACTGTTTTCCCAACAGCAAACGGGGATCCCAATCTATGTAGTTTAGTTACCTCATGTTCGAACAAAATAATAATTGTTCAGCTGTAGCACACTTTCGGTGCCTGGCTGCCATACCCCTTGAAGGAAACACGGGGGCTGTAATGCTGCCGGGTTGACCAAACCTAGACAGGTTAAGTCGAGAGGCAGAGGTCGGGTTCGAACCACGGACTTTCCGGTCAGTAAATTTGCGCTCTACCGAACGAGCCATTTCACCCCCTGATCACGCAATCCTGTGTATATTTCAGGAGATCCAGTTTACATCCAGTTTACATCGTGTGCATGTCTTTTAAGGTCTGTTGGTATTTCTACACGAGAACTTATCGATCATTATTATCCTTTGCCCAGCGAATAGCACACGATAGGCTCGAGGCAGTGCAATGGGCATGCACGAACTATTGACCGGGAAGCCTATGGTTTGAGCCCGATCGGGACGCCCCGGTTGCTCCTGTTTTGGTCGGAATAACCTGGCAGTATCATGGCTGTCGCGACTGAACGACTTAATATCACAGGACGACATGGGATAAGATACGAGTTACTCACCAACACATCGGTTGTTTGAACACCTGTGACTATTTTTTACGCCTGTCTGAGTCGGAACAACTTGGTAGCGGATCATTTAATTCCCCAGATGAGGCGGGAATGTCACTCCATCTCTGGCATACGGATTACTGACGCTGTAATGGTTCTTCATAAAAACATTCAGCTTTTTACACAAAGGTTTCTCGTGTAGAGCGCTGTTTATCGTAGCACAGACAATTCCATGACGGCTGTTCGGTTTACTTCATTTTAACAACCATTAACTACGTACTTCTGTATGGTGGCTCGGATCGCCTCGACGTATCACGGCGGGTTGAAGGATATCATGGGTGTAGACGACAAATTAGAAAAGAACACAAGGGATGATGGTTAAGTAGTACTATCCCCACGCGGCTATAGTTATCATGTTTAAGCACTAGTACGTATCAGGAGCACAATTTCTGTGCTGGCCGCTCCTGGATTCCGCGTCGGCTTCATCGCCTTTTCTTGTGTACATCAGTCTAATCGGGACGGTTGGAACGTTTCAGTGGAGTGTGATATTTGAAAAAAACGCCTCCATTCATCAGCATCGAGGTGTTGCTTGCGATGGGCGAGATGGCCCAAGTGGTTAGGGCGCGAATTTATTGACTGGAAGGTCCGTGGTTCCAACCCGACCTCTGCATCTCGACTTCCCTTGTCTAGGCTTGGGCAACCTGGCAGTTTTCCAGTCCTCGTGCAACCTTCGGGTTGCAGAGCAGTTGGGCACCGAGAGGCCGCTACAGCTGAACGACTTTTTGTTGCTTGCGATTGCTGAGTCACTTCATGACGTCTGTTCGACTTGTCCGCCGTACTATCATGGTGGTGTCTCAGGAGGGAACCCCATTAAGATCAGGGTTCCCGCGCATTTTCGGGGTACCGAAGTATGGTGGCAAGATGGCTCAGTGGTTAGAGCGCGGATTTACTGACCGGTTCGAACCGACCTCAGCCTCTCGATATCCCCTCTCTAGGCTTGGACAGGTTGGCATCCCAGCCCTCGTGTTTTCTTCGGATTTCATAGCAGCTAGGCGCCCAAAGTGTGTTACAGCTGAACGATTATTACTATTTTACCAAAGTACGATTCTCTTACAGTACAACCAAAACGGGAGTAGACTTGGTTTTTGTTTCTTTTTTACCTACTGGCGAGCATCATCACCTTTGTCACGACCGCCATCATCCTAGTTCAAGTGAACATTGTGATTACTCGATTGCCTCCCAGTAGGCCATTCTACGGAGTTAGAATGTTTCCACCTTTTGTTCTTATCTTCGCACCCTCGTTTGTAGAGACTTTATCATCTATGCTGTATCCGGCCTTACCGCACACTTGGACCGCCTGGTCCACGTCTTGTCAGAGACCGTACTTCGTTCACGTATCACAACAGATGAGGTAGGAATGGCTGCACGCAGCATTGGATTTGAACTGCAGGCCATGCAACGTGCTCCTCCCGTAGAACCAGTCATAACGGAGTTGCTACACGGAGCCGCTTTTGGTGGAGAACAACCGCAAACCCTAGGGCTCCCTCGGTACTGTCCGCTTGAGAATCTGGAGAAAATCACTCGTGATGACATCATTAGCTTCCTGGCGAGCTATTACAGGTAAGCAATTTGGAAATATGTTGAATCAGTAGTAGTAGACGAGATATTTAAACAAATCCTGGTGCTCAAATATCTTCTGACGAAAGACTTATCGATCTGGAATAAACGATTATTCTATTTTACCAAAGTACGATTCTCTTACAGTACAACCAAAACGGGAGTAGACTTGGTTTTTGTTTCTTTTTTACCTACTGGCGAGCATCATCACCTTTGTCACGACCGCCATCATCCTAGTTCAAGTGAACATTGTGATTACTCGATTGCCTCCCAGTAGGCCATTCTACGGAGTTAGAATGTTTCCACCTTTTGTTCTTATCTTCGCACCCTCGTTTGTAGAGACTTTATCATCTATGCTGTATCCGGCCTTACCGCACACTTGGACCGCCTGGTCCACGTCTTGTCAGAGACCGTACTTCGTTCACGTATCACAACAGATGAGGTAGGAATGGCTGCACGCAGCATTGGATTTGAACTGCAGGCCATGCAACGTGCTCCTCCCGTAGAACCAGTCATAACGGAGTTGCTACACGGAGCCGCTTTTGGTGGAGAACAACCGCAAACCCTAGGGCTCCCTCGGTACTGTCCGCTTGAGAATCTGGAGAAAATCACTCGTGATGACATCATTAGCTTCCTGGCGAGCTATTACAGGTAAGCAATTTGGAAATATGTTGAATCAGTAGTAGTAGACGAGATATTTAAACAAATCCTGGTGCTCAAATATCTTCTGACGAAAGACTTATCGATCTGGAATATGCAGATGACATCGTTCTCGTCTTTGAAGAGGAGAAGGAGACGCAGTGTGCACCCACAAAGTGCAACGTTATGCTTATGGACATGCAGTTACTGAACACGCCACTTACAGTCTGAGGAGAGGCACTGAAAGTTGTGGGGCATTTTACGTAATTTGTATTAGTTCCTATTGTAATGTGGCAGATGGGGTTAAGACACGAATCTGAAAGATTCCGATCGCGATTGCTAATTTGAGACACCTATGGTGTCAACGCGGTATATCCCTGGATCCCAGGAGACGTGCGCATTAGGTTACGATACGGGCTATTTTGTCGTATGGTTGTGTGACTTCGCCTGTCCGAGCAGCATAATTGAGACGTTTTCAGGTCTCCGAAAACGGGTATCTCAGAACCATAGCTTGTGTGGGTTGGTGTCGGTGAATCCGTAACGAGGCAGTTAGAAAGCGAGTTTTCGATTGTGCAATGGGGAATCCCGCCGAAGAGTGTGTCTAGCACCAGAAGTTGCGTTGTTTAGGCCATGCATTGCGCATGCCGAATAATCGGTTGCCGAGGAGGGTGCTGTTTTCCCTGTCAAATTTAAAGTGGCACGAACAGAGGTAGTCAATCTTTGGCCTGACAGAGGTGTACGAAAAGGATTACGAAACATCTGGGTACTGTCCTAGTTTTCCCCACTGCTCCTGGTTGAAAACGTTGCAGTATATTGTTGCTAATCGATGTCGGTGTTCTTTTTATTAGTTTCTATTCACATTGCCTGAATGAGTGTCTGGAGGCGTGGACATTTCGAGATGATTGTAGTAAGCCGGCACTAAGTTTTTCCCCATCTACCTTTATCCTTTCCTCTACGATAGGGTTTTCAAACAACTGATGGTCTTGAACACTGTTGCTATGTTGTCGATGATGATAAGCACGTAAAGCTCCACCCGAACTACCCAATTTAATATGGTTTTCAGGAGCAAACGCAATTTGAATCCCCAGTTTCAGTGCAACAGATAGGCCATGTCTGAGTTGCCCTATCTTGCCTACAACGAATATCCTATCAGGTCACTCGAATGTCGAAAGATGAACACTATCTGACCCATCTTCCGCGCCGATACCATTTTAGGCGCTCTGAGCACCGACAAAAACAATGAATCTTATTAGCTATAGCGTCATATCGACATCGTTTTCTCCTCGGATGATTCTCTATATGAAAGCGGACCAGTTTCAAGCTTTTCAAATTTTCTTCCTACTCTCCCCCCGTCGTAGCAAAAACCATGTAAATTCTTACTACCATGCTTCCTTTCTCAGTTCACTCTATAGATCGCTGTTTCCTGCTCAGCAGTGATTCTTCTCACGGTTTAGTAACTCCAGGGCTACCATTACGTGCATATAGTATTGGGCTGAATTCGAGGAATGGTACCAAGATATTTGAGGCATTCGGTAACGACGTAGTAACATGCCTAGATGGTCACTCTGCCATTTCTGCAATACACCATTATCGGTTACAGTCTGTGTCTCTTCACCTGGCGCAAGGTAGATTGCCTCCAGACGTTGGAGCTGGTCCTGACAATGAAACAGTTCATTTCACTTTGTTGGAAGGTACACCTTACACATCCACTGAAGATTCTGCTCTGGGGCAATCCTGGGGAATCCCGCCGAAGAGTGTGTCTAGCACCAGAAGTTGCGTTGTTTAGGCCATGCATTGCGCATGCCGAATAATCGGTTGCCGAGGAGGGTGCTGTTTTCCCTGTCAAATTTAAAGTGGCACGAACAGAGGTAGTCAATCTTTGGCCTGACAGAGGTGTACGAAAAGGATTACGAAACATCTGGGTACTGTCCTAGTTTTCCCCACTGCTCCTGGTTGAAAACGTTGCAGTATATTGTTGCTAATCGATGTCGGTGTTCTTTTTATTAGTTTCTATTCACATTGCCTGAATGAGTGTCTGGAGGCGTGGACATTTCGAGATGATTGTAGTAAGCCGGCACTAAGTTTTTCCCCATCTACCTTTATCCTTTCCTCTACGATAGGGTTTTCAAACAACTGATGGTCTTGAACACTGTTGCTATGTTGTCGATGATGATAAGCACGTAAAGCTCCACCCGAACTACCCAATTTAATATGGTTTTCAGGAGCAAACGCAATTTGAATCCCCAGTTTCAGTGCAACAGATAGGCCATGTCTGAGTTGCCCTATCTTGCCTACAACGAATATCCTATCAGGTCACTCGAATGTCGAAAGATGAACACTATCTGACCCATCTTCCGCGCCGATACCATTTTAGGCGCTCTGAGCACCGACAAAAACAATGAATCTTATTAGCTATAGCGTCATATCGACATCGTTTTCTCCTCGGATGATTCTCTATATGAAAGCGGACCAGTTTCAAGCTTTTCAAATTTTCTTCCTACTCTCCCCCCGTCGTAGCAAAAACCATGTAAATTCTTACTACCATGCTTCCTTTCTCAGTTTACTCTATAGATCGCTGTTTCCTGCTCAGCAGTGATTCTTCTCACGGTTCAGTAACTCCAGGGCTACCATTACGTGCATATAATATTGGGCTGAATTCGGGGGATGGTACCAAGATATTTGAGGCATTCGGTAACGACGTAGTAACATGCCTAGATGGTCACTCTGCCATTTCTGCAATACACCATTATCGGTTACAGTCTGTGTCTCTTCACCTGGCGCAAGGTAGATTGCCTCCAGACGTTGGAGCTGGTCCTGACAATGAAACAGTTCATTTCACTTTGTTGGAAGGTACACCTTACACATCCACTGAAGATTCTGCTCTGGGGCAATCCCAACTATACCCTTTTGGGTTGTATGAGGTTCGAGAGGGAGTTTTATCGTCTGGCAATGAAATACTTCGAGTATAAAGTAAGCAAATAACCGTATTATCAAGCAGTCAGACCACAAACATCCAATGGAAGTCGCACGCCATCATGACAAAATGAGAAATAGGAAACTAAGCCCGATAAATTCCGACCATTTAGACAGTTTTAGCAGTTTTTCTCCAGTGAACTGACGCTGCATGACAGAAACGTTTGGTAATCCATGCGTCAACCTCAAGACCGGTCGATTGTCGTTACCATTTAACTCCGTCTGTTTCATTGCCCTCTAGCTGCACTATTGTACCGTCACGAAGAGACTGTACCTTACTGCTGTGTGACTGTTCACTTTCGTAACTTGTTGAGCTACACTGGGGTGTGTACGTGGGACATTCACGTGGTCTCCTATACTAGTTTAGTCAATGGGTACAGCTCTGTCTAACATAGTTTTCTGGTCCTTCAGGTTGGAGTCTGAAACATGTGTGGCCAGTTGCTCCGTTGGGTTGCGGTTAGATTTTTGATCCAAAGGCTTTGGTCGATGACCCTCATCAAATTCCCATCTAGGACTGAGTATCCCAACCCACTTAAACCATGAATCGCACAAGTGCAGATGTTCTCACGCCACAATAACCTTTGCTTAGTGCCATCATCCGGGTCGCCTTACTTGTTGCATACAGCAGGGTGGGTAAACAAAAAACTGGCCACTGTCGACGCTTTCTCCTTCTGTTTCACATTTTCGTTCCTCTTCATCCATTTACCAAGTGACATTTTCTTGGGTCCAATATGAAGGGCCAGCAGATCCGTTCACCGCTCATTGCCGGTAGCTGCAATATCTGCGGTTGACGCGATCGTCACAGCCACAACCACTTCAAAATCATCCTTTAGGTCCATATGCTCAGTTAATCTGGCAACCTTTAACGTTTGTACCCTTAAAGCAAGCCGGACAAGAGACTGTTCGTGTATCTTGGCTTGACTTGCCCTCTATTGAAGTGTGCTGTCTCTGATTCGAGGCCCAAATACGGTTGTTGAACTGATCTTCCCATCGTTTCCCACTCGTCTCCGGTACTGCGCTTCTGGTAATTGAGAAGCCGCTGCTGCTTGTCCTGTTGTAGTTGACACTGTTTTAATCCACCGATCTGTGAAGAATCTTCGCTTTAATGGTTGTCCGTTGGCTGTTGCCCCTATGTGGTTCGTTTTGCATTGTTTTTGAGAGTATCCCGTAAATGCGTCAATAATCAATATCTGTTCATTGTATCTGCTTACGGTCCAATAGACTTTGGGTCCGATACACTCAAAGGCAGGTATTACGACGCTTTGGGCGCCCTGTTATGGGGGGCTAAGATCTCAGATATTGCTGCGGTTGCCTGGGATATGAATGCGCAAGTAGGAAGACTTGGCGCTACTGATGCTCAATTGAATGGCCGTCTTGTCCTGGAATCGAGGCGCATACACAACGGCAAACACCTACAGCAGTTATGTGCTGACCATGATCATTCTGTGCGGTACTAATGTGGGGAGCAAGCGAAGCCATTTCGCCACCCCCTGTATATGAGCCAACCTTCAACACAGATGGACCATATCACCATCACCTTTGGGTGCTTTTAATCAGTTACCATCTGAATCATCCATGTGGGTTAAGACCACCCGCTTGCTCGTTTATGCTTCTCTTTGGACTTTTCTGGGACGCATGAGATGTGCACACCTCATCTTGGACCTTGGTTTGAAGCCAAACCACGTTTTGGAAACCTTTTCGAATGATAGACTTTCTGGCATTGAATCTTACTGGAAGGTACTGTCTGGAACCCTACAAGATGTCGGGCCCTTCGTTTGTGGAATGGGGGAACCAAATAAATCCAAGCACTGAGGCTGGAGCAACGCTTTACAATTGCCCCATTCTCGGACACGTATTCCCCCTGATCTGGAGTCGGTGCAATCTGACGAAGTGTCAGAAGTTGAAAAAAGAGCGTTTATGTGAATCGGAAAGCTCGGTGGGTTCAAAAAGCTGAGGACCTGGCGAAAGAGAGAAGCTCCGGGCTGATAGGCGCAACATGCGTAAAGAGTGTCAAGTGAACGAAACAATCACTGAGAAAAACAGCTCGATTATAACCAAAAAAAGAACGTCTAAATATTTGGACCGAACACCAACAACACTACAATTGGACAATTGTAGTTACGCAACCGGATTCCTGACCTACCATTCAGCCCTGGACATTAGACTTGGGACCCCCGACGGCTTCGGGAATGCTTTTTGTTCCTCAAGCGTCACGGAGCTGCTGGTCTCGATGAAACCTCACCCGGTCTGTTCAAAGGTAGCGGATGAAACCCCCAGTCGATACTTATCTAACTTAATTGCCTCTATCTGGGAAAAAGAAACCGTTCCGTTTAGTTGAGGTGGTTCGATAATAGTGCCCGTTTTCAAAAGATGTGCTCGCAATGAGTAGGGCTATTACACGAATTCGCTTGATCTCTGTTCTGTTTAGACTCTGCATCAACTATTTTACGGTGTCGTGTCAAGACGGGACCCGAAAACTACAAACAGCACTCGATCATTTGGAAAATGCTTAGAACCTATTAAGTAGACGTCGTTCCGGAGGGGGTTGGTAAACAATCGGTAGGTTTGTTGCTGGGCTACGTTTCGCTTTTCACACAAAAGTTTCCTCACGCCGAGTGAATAAAGTACCATGTTGGTCGGGTTTTGCCACAAGCTGACTTGATCAGTGCTGGGTGTCAGTGTGAATTTCCTGTTTGTTGCTTGGTGTAGATGGTTAGGGGAGATTGTCCTTAGGTTGAATCCGGAATTCAGGACCTCGCTTATCCAGTCTAGGGCCCCCTACTGGAATATTCCGCTTGGGTGTCTTTCGTAGATTTTGTTGGTCTGTGTGCGTTAAGGAGTGCCAGGACAATTATCTTGGGGTTGGGGAACTAAATGAATCTCATTATGCGTGTTTTGTACTTTTAGATTTATAACGTTTTGATGACCGCACACCGTCTATTGTCATCTCGGCTCACCTAAAACCGCTGTCCACAGTTCCATGCTCTCTATTCTATTCAGGTCGAGATGCTTGGCGACCAGTCGCTATCGGCTATCGTCACGATCTAGATCATTACTGATTTGACGATATCGGTGTAGGTCTATAGCTAACCACGTCAACGACAACTTCAATCTCTACACAAGTACAAAGCAAAAAGAACTTCCCCTATGTGGGAGTGGCTTCTTTGGCTGAGCGGCAAAAAAGGCGTTTGAGTCCTGGGAGTTGGTGTTTAATCAGCTGCCTTACAGATTGCAGACCTCTTGAGAAGGTAAACTGAGCATATCGTTCACATACCAATGATCGAAAGCATCAATTTTGCGGTTATCTGGACCACATATCCATCAGCTTTCCGGCTGGAAGGCAGGCTTGGACCTTGGTCTGTGAAACGCTCTGCGCCTCAGTCGTAGGATCCCGCCATGGTATACTGCGACCGAGATATCTGCACCCGCAAAAATATCCCGACGCCACTTGGCTCACCGTAACTTGTCTGTCAGAGGGACAAACCTCCAGGCTGACAATGGAAGTCTTTTGTTGTATCTTGTTAAAGAACTGCCGTGCACTATGGTCATCTGTGGTGATGTCGTAGATTCCGTCTGTGAATCCTAGGTGCGTGACCGTGTCTAGTATCCACTGCGTGGTGTCCGTTGACAACTTGACACATCCAGTCAACTATGAAGCTGAGCACCATAGGGGATAGCGAACGGCCCTATGAAACTCGCAGCTTCAAGGCAATGACTCTTCACCTCACATAAAGACGAGTACTACCGTAGCCATGTAGCAATACTTCAACATTCTTGTTGGATTATCAGTAAAGTCAGGTTTCTGAAAATAATCTCAGGGTGCCGAAGACATACTGAGAAACTCAATACCTCCGAAATCGGTGTAGGGAAGCCAACATCTTCCAGGCCAGTCAAGCAGTNTAGCCACGGCGACGAGTGTTTAGGCATGCCACAGAAGCGTGGCCGATGACGATGGGTGTTCATCAAACGCCGATCAGAAATCCCGGATCAATGTCAAAAGTGCCCTTTAAATACCCCGAGGTCCCTTGTAACTTTTGCACTCGCTTGTTCCCAATAACGCTGTTGTTTCTTGTTGGTGAGTTTTTTTCCTACACTGGAGCGGGGACAGGAGTTAGATACAACAGGGATATAGTCTGATTCCCCTGTATTCCACAGTGCCTCTCGATTTGCAGAACTGATCGCTGTAGAAAAGTTGGTGAAACAGGCGAAAGTTAGCTGTTGGTAATTTTAACGTTTTCTCCGAGTATCGCGTACTCTGAGGCTTTGGTTAGTGCCGGCTTTCGCTCCTCACACCTCCTCATTGTCTTCCATACCTGAATCTCTTCTGCGGTTCTTTAGAAGAACATAACGATTTTAAGAGTCCATCTGATCAACTTTTCTCAAGATTAAGTTCCTCAGCTTGCTCCATGGTTACCCAACCACTAGGACAACAGCAGTTGGATTGCTTACTTAGGGAATAGAAGGTAAACTTTGGTCGTTCTTCAAAAGAAGTGAGAAAGTAAGAAATATCCGTGGTGAAAGGCGAAAATTCCAGGGCCGATTGGTCTCCCAAAAAGAACCACTGATGACCTAACTAGCAAAGCTAATTAGTGTGAAATGGAGTGAACAGAAAATGCCAGCAGAATAGGGCATGTCGACAGTTATTCCTATCTTTAAAAAGGTTACACGGGTGTTGTGTGAAAACCACTGTGGCGTCAGCTTCGTAGCTGTAGCGCTGAAGGTGCTCTTTGATCTTATCCTTCGAAGGTTGGTTGAACACAGCGAGAGACAGATCCGTGAAAAGCAGGTTTGGTTCCGTGCTGCAAGAGGATGCATCGATCACATTTTCACCCTCCGATGTATTCTGGAGGAGCGATACTGCTTCCATTAACCAACAGTGGTTGTCTTTATTTGAAGGCTGCCACTTTTGAGATTATTGGGTGATTAATTGGTTTGGTATGCGAACTCCTGTGGGCACGTACGAGTATACAGGAAGCTCTCACCTGAGTTCACCACGTCCACGGTGTAAGACAAGGCTGTTCTCCCTCTCCCTTCCTCTTCAACTTTGGTATTGTTATACTGCTTGAAATTTCTCTGTCTGTATCTGAAACCTCGGGAGTTATAATGCTCCCGGAACGTTCGCTCACAGACATTGAATATGCAGACGATATTGCTATCCTTGGTTCCCAAATGCAGACGATTTTAAATAATCTAAATAACTGTCACACGGTTTGGCATGCGCTTCACATCTGCAAAATTTGGAGTGGGATCAAACCCACACTTTCAGGTTAGCCAATCGACATTGTAGATAAATTTGTTTGCCTGGGCAGCTGTATAAGTGTCGGCGGACTGGCTGGAGATGAAATTATTTCTCGAATCGGAAAGGCCAGGGCAACTTTTTCCAACCTTCAACACTTACGGCGCCGACGTGTTGCGATCCATACTACTTTATGGGTCAGAGACGTGGCCCCTACGCGCGGAGAACATACTGAGGACCATCGTTGTCCCCGAAGCATTGGTCGGGTCTAGTGGGAACATTGGATTAACAATACTGAGGTACGCCAGATGGTCTCAGGAAGAAGGAACTCTCTCACGCTTCATAGGTTACGCTGATTAGGGCATGGACTCCCCATACCAGAAGACCGTCTGCCTTGTTTTTTTTTTCGCCAAATGCTGAGGGGAAGCGACCGAGAGGTGGACAGGTTATGAACTGGAGACGAAGTACGAAAGCACTAGCCAGTAAACTTAATCTGGTAGGTAACTGCCGCTTCCCTGGATGGCGACCCCGGAACTCAAATGACCAATGGTTAATGACTGGCAGAAATGGCCCAATCGCACAGTGAGTGGCGCTCGTGCCTCAAAGCTGTCGCCTTCAATTCGGAGCTGCTCAATTTCCGAACAAACTGAACATGCCTTCGCCCTCAAGGCTTGGTTGTACGTTCCGTGTTACCGTTTTCTGGTGATCCAAACGGTAGCAGTTGAAACCAATGTGTCTATGGTACACGGTTTATAGCTAGTAAATCGATTGAAATGGTTGATTGAAGGCTGCTACTGACTGTGGACCGTCAGGCACTATGACTGTCTGTGGAGAGATGTTCCCCATACATTCTTGACCCTCATCAAGATACTGCACGCCAACTCCCGCAGACATATAGGTCTACGGAAAGCTCTTGCCTGAGTTCACTATATCAAGTGGTGTTAGGCAAGGCTGTCCGCTGTCGTCTTTCCTCTTCAACTTCATCATTGATGCGACCATGGAAGACTCACTGACAGCCTCTAATACTTGTGGGGTCGAAATGCTCCCAGGGCATTCGCTCACAGATATCGTGTACGGAGACGACATCTTTCAGCTGCCCAGTCTATGTTTACTCACCTATTTTCGGACTGATGTGAATCAGACACCTTGCAGATGGCTTACATGCAAACATGTTTGGACCCGTGTTTCACCTTGGGAAGCAGTTTGCGATGGTTCCTCGGGAGTCTGTCGTCTCGTTAATCCATACCCAAGTACTCGCAGTGCTAGCGAGCCCCAGCTTCTCATTACTTCGCTAGTTGTGCCCGAACAAAACCCCTGTGAGTAAGAAACGTTAAATCCGCACTGGTCACTAAAACGTTCAGTTCCCACTCTCAGGAGCTAAAATGTCACCATTGTGGTTTGGGCTGTTGGACTGTGGTTAGTATCGGCTGCTCATTTTCGCACCAAATATGCGTTGGTAAAATGAAGAGATTTTGAAATTTCAATTTAAATGTTTCTCCGCAAATCAAGTCAATCCATCGTAAAAAATCTGAGACGCACCCACTGTCCTTTTTGCAAAACGCCTAGAAGCCTGCAGCTCACGATTCTCTCGGCGATACAAATTTGCGATTCTCCCTTTATTTTTTGAGTTTATTTGCGCAACGGAATCGGATAAGATCACGATTTGACGAGTGGAGAGTTGCGTACCTTGTCGTTCTTAAAATATCACCAGCATCGTTTCAGGTCTAAAGCTTCGTTATTCTGGATGAGTTGAATGGCTAAAGTTATTCTAATTTGTTTTGGTAGGCCTGAACGAATGGTGGTCGCCGGCGCGGGTGTGGAACATGATTCCTTTGTCAAGGCTGTGGAGAAAGCGTTTTCACCCTGTGAACACATATTGTGCAATGAACCCGCCGCGCGTAACGCTCCCCCGCCGGATGCAACAGTTGCTAAGTACACCGGTGGGTACGCGAAGGTGAGCGTTGTGTGTTCCTGTAATTTATCAAGTCACCCAGGTTGGTTAAATTTACACCACCAGAACGCTCTGATGGGGCTGTTCGAAACCGTGGTTAGTTGGCGGAAAATAATGACCTTGAATCAAATTTCTGCAACCACTAGGCAACAATGGCTGTCTACTTCTCTTGAGACCATGGTAAAAATTCTTCCACGAGGTGATTATTTCCACAGCGGAGGAAAACCAAGTTTTAAGGTTGTTCATCTTCTATACTCTTCCCACGGCCTCTGATATCAATAAACCATCCAATTAGCATTGTCCATGATGTTTTGTTGGACAATTTTGTGGACATAGCGAATAAGACGGTAACGTTCACCGAAGGTTTGTGAGACACACGAATGAGTTTAACGATGATTTTGGTCACCTACTGTGCAGTTATTCGTTAACCAGATAGAAGAAGCTTCTTCCTTTTCAATTTCGAGGCGTTATTCTTCACAAGCGCCTAGCGGAAGTGTGCCCGGATATCTGAACTGACCGAATGACGCAAAATGTGCTGCAGGGACATTGGTCTCGTCATATTCCTTGCTACTTATAAATTTTAGAGTAGTTAGATCGTAACAATCGCCCGTTGCTTCGGGTCCATCGACAAAACTGATACCTCAGTCGAAGTTTTGGCTAACAGATCAACTCCGAGGATACAGACAAACAGTAGCGTCAGTAAACCGAGGCCTCCTTAGATCGATGAATTCTCTTGTGTTCTATATCTACTTCCATTTGCCACCTGCATTATTCGCCCTTTTGTTGCATTACGCGACATCCATTTCAGGTTGAACGCGATCTCAGCCAATACCATGCACCCATGCCGGAGTTTGCTCACGCATCTGTTGGGTTCGAATCCTGCGGCTCAAGAGATCCTTATTTTGTCACGAGCTGTCTGCTTCAGTCCCTTCTCGGCGGAGGTGGCTCGTTTTCAGCTGGAGGTCCGGGAAAAGGCATGTACACGCGGCTTTATGTGAACGTGCTCAACCAGTCAGTTTTTCCTTGTTTTATTGTCTGTGCGTTGTTCTACTTTGACATCCGATCGTCTTTTGGGACGTCTTTGGGATTTTCAGCCGTTCCTCTTCAACCTCTCGGGTGAATACTCTGGAAAGAGGAGCCAAAATTTGACGCAAACTAGTGAGGGGTAAGGCTCATCGTTCGGGAAATGCGTGGTCACAGAACTAAGTTAGAAACGCACTACTTCCCGCCTTTTAAGTTTAAGTTTTCCCCGTTTAAAGGATTCAGTGTTTGAGGCAAGCTGAAATACTCAGACGGGGAGACGACGATTCTAGACATACAGAATAAGCTCTTGTGTTTTCATGTGTGTTCTACGGTGATGTCGAAAGAACATTGCCTGAATTGATTGCCCCACGTCTGCCCCAACAATGGTGAGTACTTTTAAGCGCTGGTAAGTATCGTTTTCGCTGTACCAACTGAACTACAATCGCCCAGTTTTTATGGCTCTTGTTTGGACCATGTTCGTCACAAGCCTCTGGTTTGATTTTCCTGGTCTTTACTTCCACCAGATACGGCAGTATGTTATGGGAAACCTCTGGGTAGAGACAACCTTCAGATGGCATCTCACGTTGCATTGTTTGAGCTGTTTGTAAATCGTACACCTTTCCTTCAACTAGGTTTTGTCTTCCTCTCTAATTTCACGGTGTTTCTATGTGGAACAACTACACGGCCGAAACTGTGAAAACGCAGTTGGCCTAGTTTGTTCTGCGGCACCTCACATGGACTGCAACCAGGGTTAAGTGGCCGCCTGTGATTCGAATTTAATTTACCTTCGCGATAATATTGGTCCAGGTGCGAGTATTGCCCGAATAATTACCTACTCAGTTCACATGTTTTCATTTGAAATTGGGGCTCAGTGGTTAGAGCGCGAATTTGATGACCAGAAATTCCCTGGTTCGAACCCGACCTCTGTATCTCGAATTACCCTATCTAAGCTTGAGCAACCTAACAGTATCCCAGTTCTCGTGCTTCCTTCGAGTGGCATGGCAGATAGGCATCGTAAGGGTGCTACAGCTAAACGGTTTTTCACGTTGTGATTTGCTAATTATGCGAATTAATTTGCAAAAAACAAAGTAGCCGTCTAATTGTTCCGGGGGTTATACTTCAAGTGTCCATGCATACGCATGACTCTTCTCACTGCTGGAAATGAATGACCGTTCAGCTGTGTGACACTTTCGGTGCCTAGCTGCCGTGCCACTCGGAGAATATACGTGGGCTGAGATACTGTCATTTTACCCAAGCCTAGACATGAGCAGTTGAAATGCTGAGGTTGGATTCGAACCGTGACCTTCCGGTTGCGCCTTAACCACTAATCTCCCTTGAATTCAGTGTTTTATTTATCTCTTCAACTTTCTCCAAATATTTTTCTTTTTCTCTTAGACATCACTGGGTTAATTCTGCACAAGCAGAAAATCATTCCTACACGGATACCGGTCTATTTAGCATCACAGGCAGTTCAGACCCAGCTGACCTCGATCGATTAGTTTATACGCTCATCGGAGAATTACGCCACACCGCCGAGTCCAGGTTGTCCGCCGATGAATTGTCAAGAGCCAAGGCCCAGCTGAAGTCAATGCTCTTGATGAACATGGAGACGCGAGCAGTTCTTTTCGAAGACATTGCTCGTCAGGTGCTCACTTCGGGAACCCGGCACCAACCGGAGTACTGGGTTGAAAAGATAGGTATGATCGATCAACGTTTTTCGTTTGGTCTCTTTTCCGATAACTTTTTGAGTTGAATGAATATACGGAGAACTTCCTTTGCCAATCTGTTGTATCGTGGGTGGTCGTTTGTTAGGTTACGTCTGTACTGAGCCTGCCAGACTACGCGATAAGGAGAAGACAGAGAACTCGGGACACGGCTGTATTGTCAGGACAAAACATACAGAGCTTCTGCGTAAATATATTGGATGACTAAATGGCTAAATACGGCCGTTCACTTGTTCGTTCTGTACAGCCATTGGGGCCCACTACGCTGGTCGTATGTTGCTAAGCCGTGTTTGGGGCGAGCCACCAACTCAGCTACTTTCCGGACGTGTCGTACCGATGGTTGACCTTGGGGATGCGTCACTCTCTGCACATACACTTTTTCCACGTCTTGGGCGCGTCTGACACAACCGAACATATTTATTCCTTTGCGACTACCTCCCGCGAGGGGATTTCCCCGGGCTCGTGTACGTTGTGAACTACATGCAGTGAAAAACAAACCTGCGCAATTCGGATCACCATGTATTTTTGGACAGCGTTTTGAGAGAGAGCAGGGTAAGCATGGCGAGCCATCGTTATGGCTATAGGACCCAGACAGCATCATCAGCCCGACTGTCTTCGCATGCTTGCTGTTGGGTTTTATTGAGGGTTTAGACACTTTGATCACCCCCACTTACTTCGGCCCTCTTGTTAAGGTATTGTGCTACTGAGGCATGGTCGCTATCATATGCGGGGTGCTCTTTTGAGCTCCAGGTGGGAACTGAGTAGCAAACGAGGATCAACGACTGGCAAGCCAAACTATGGAACCGCGACAGGTCAGCCAGCCAGGAGGGATCACCTCTTCCTTAATATGCAAGAAATAATTTTACCAATGTCATTTTCGAAATTGTGTCCTGGACATCACTGTTTCGATGAAATGATTTTCGACCCTTGACCACTCCATATCTCGACAACCTATACAACCTCTCCCACCCTTCTGGAGCCACCGTCCTCAGTCGACCGTATATAAAAGGGTATGGGGCGATGCTTTATGTGTATTTAACACATCGATTTCAGCTTTCAAGTTCGAGAACATTGTTCGTCATCTGTATAAGAGGATGATTCGCCGATGGCATGTTCTATAGTTTTTGGGTACATGTTTTACTTTTCCCGTTAGGTTCCATCCTTGGGATAAGGCGATTTTTCCATCGTTTTTCGGAAATCGTCGACTGTGCGTACCCCATGAAACTTCGGAAGGAATGTAACCCACGACCTTGCATTCAGTAATTGAACCCTATGCCATTCGGTTACGAGTGACTAATCAGTAATACGGCCAACTATTGCAGTGTAACTCATTTCTTTTGTCGTTTTTAACAAACTGTTTCTCAATTTCTAGTGCTTTCACTTTTTCGTCCCCTTGCCTTCGACGCATTGATTTTCACCATACAGACGCAGTTTCGGCAACCGATGTTCAAGAGCTGCTCCATCGAATGCTTCAGTCCCCTCCTACGGTGGTAGGCTTCGGCCGTGTCGGTCGCTTACCTTCTCAGGCTGATGTTAGCCGCTTCATCTCTAGACCGATTACCTCCCGTCTGTCTGACCGTATACCCGGACTTTTCAAACGTTTAATTTGATCCAGCCGACACCGCCGTTGTAACTCTTTCGGCAAAGTGGTCGGCTTGTTCCAGGGAGCCGTTCGTTCAATTTGGGGTGCCCATTCAAGTTTTAACTTGTAAATTGGATTTTGTTGAATATACTACATAACTTTCAGACTCATAATGTCTTGATTACCGTGCATAGGGGCTGTCCAATTTCCTTAGGTTTATTACCCCTAGAGTGAGATCCTTACCAGGTAAATTAAAGCAGTGGCCTCAAAAGCTAAAAACAGCATTAAGCGTAATCTAATGATACCCAGGAATCTCCGACAGTGCGGCAAATGCTAACGTAACAATGAGGGACGGGGGCAGAAGCAACTGGTAGCTGATACGAAAATGATGGAAAATCTCTTTGCTGAGTGGGAATGATTGATGAGTAGTGTGTTACGTCTATAGACAACCATACCGATTGGTCTGGGTGCTACACGTTTCATGCAGAATCAAGCGATTCATAGTTGTGCTAGAGTAAGGGATAGGGATTCTCGTGCTCAGGAATACCGCTATAGGGATGTGACAGATGATACTGTCGAGAGACTCACCCGGTGATTTTCATACTGTTTTGAGTGGAAGTTGTTCTCCAATCACTGTCATTAAATCCTTTATCAATGCGGATGGCGACGAAAAGTAATCGCAGCGGACAGAGGTAAATAGGTAATGGATGATCTCATTGCGGAAGGTCTATGGAGAGAGTGCGTTCCCCTGGTGTTCGTACAATACGCACAGGAGTGTCTACCTCAAAATTCTGGCCAATCGAGTATGTGGGGCGAGCACTACCTTGGGAAATGTTAGGGCTATTCTACTAATAACAACACTCGTTCGTCTGGGACACCTTTTCAGTGCTTAGCTAGCATGTCACCCGAAGAAAGCATGGGGGTGAGGTACTGCAAGGTTGTCCAAGCCTAGGGACGAATAGTCCAAATGCTGGGATCGGGTTCGAACCATGGACCTTCCGATCAGCAGATTCGCACCTTAACCAGTGGGTATTTTTCTCGAACTCCAAGGGCTATATTACTGCAAGAGTATTGAAACCCAGTTGCCTCCTGTTAGCTGATAGTTTGAAACGTGTCCGAGTACCCGATAATATATTGCATGTCTCGTCCCACTATTTGGCTGAGTAGCTGAAAAATCATTCTGAAAAGACGACCAAAGTCTCGTTTGTTACAGTCCTATCTCGACCAAGTGATTCTGAGAATGACGTGATCTGCTGGACTATCCGATCCTTTAGAAATAGGAAATTTCTCTTTCAAGTGTAACCATGATCCTGTAGTTAGTACGCGATCCAAGTCAGCTCAGCTCTTTTGCGTGATACTCGGCCACTTCTGTTTCACATTAAACTCCATACATCAAACCAAACTCCAAAAGGTGCGTAACCGAAATCCCTTCTTGTATCTGACTTCAATAGGTTCAGTTGAGTCAGCAAGTTCGTGTTCGAACGAGCACTTTCAAGCTTGTGACATCCAGAGTAAAGGACGTACCGAATCAAGCATGGTGATCACTAAATTTGAAGATGAACTGTTTCTGAGAGCCACTAGCACACACGAGATTGTGGTTTTCAAGTTGTCAAAGGTAACAGATCAATACTGCTGAAAAAGGGTGTAGAAATCGAAAAATCGATGCATAGTTTCAGACAACCGCGCACACAAGTTCCGCAGTTGATCCAATGTGAACAGGAATGTGGCATACGACAAATGCCAGTCACATGAAACTCAGCCACGAGATGGCCTTCACTAAGCAACTTGGCCTTGCGCTAATGAGTGAAGGATTGCTACCTAACGTCAGTGATCGCAGGAGAACGACAGTCTATCTGTGGCCTCTTTCGGCTGAATGGTGCTGAACAAAGAAAATAATGAGGCAATCTGTTTCGGAACCCTACCCAGTTTTTCTGTAGTTTTGGTTCCAAAGTGTGGTTACCTGCAGGGGGCTGTCTCGCCAACCAATCGGTAATCGAGAGCGTCCTAACTAATGATTGACGGAGTGACAAGCGGACGTCATTCAGCCAAGAGGAAGTGCATGCATTACCTGCAGGGGGCTGTCTCGCCAATCAATCGGTAACCGAGAGCGTCCTAACTAATGATCGACGGAGTGAAAAGTAGACGTCATTCAGCCAAGAGGAAGTGCATGCTCTAAAATCAGTCAGAACACATTCGGGGCTGCGTCTACCTGATGAGCACCAAGAAGCACAAATTTGGTTTTAAGCTGCCAAAGATTTTCCAGCAAACTTAGGAGTAGTATCCTTCAAGATAGTACAAGTTCTGTTCGATCAGCCGTGCGACCAGTGAGGGAAGGCCAATTAAACTATCGAGTGACGTTTGGAAACGCTGATATTCGCTATGCTATAGTATTTTTCAGTAAAACGAAGTACAACAAACTTCTGAAACACAAAAAACTGATGGAAGAGAATGAATAGTACGTGCCGATGTAAAAAACACTAATTGTCCGGTTTTAGTGCCCTATTTTAAGGTACCACCTCCTCTAAGATACTCTGTAAAAAGTTGCGTAGTTATAAACAGATTTGTCAGCGCCGATATGTACTTAGTCTGCTTTATTCTTGGTTGGAAATTTCGGACCAGAGTCTGAGAAGCTATTGATATTAACCTGATATCAACTTGTTAAAGAATTTTGGTAACTACACGGTGGCAAATATCTATGAATAAGATGCTTCCGGGATTTCTGGCCTGTGGTTTGGTTTTTTGGGAATTAGAATTGCATCTTAATCTCCAATGGGATGAATGTGCCAAATGTAATTAGTCTCGGGATTCATGAAGTTTGGATGGGACATGGCCCTTTGAAATACCTAACCGTGTTCATAGGGTTGTTGACCAGTTGTTGTCGTGGGCGCACCGCAAAGCTCCAGGTTTTGAGGTTCAGGGTGTCCGTATGATCAACTGGGTTGAGTCTGTGCAGATTTATCTTATGATGGCCTTTTGTAGACAGTAAGAATGCGGAAAATCTGTGAATCCAATTAATTCCATAAGGATTAAGGGATAAATCATCACTTGAAAACGCCGTAACACAGAGGGTTCATAATAGCTTCCAGGAAGGTTTTTGGTCCCTTGACTAGACAAACAGTCCTCTGTTCAGTGGAACATTTTGCCTATAAAGCCAAAGAAAAGTTAGAAATTGTCCCCGACTGCGAACAGCTGACTAATCAAAGGTTCTTAACTGGGGAGTTTCAGGGTGGTGGCCAGAACCCTGATATGAAAATACGACCATTTTTTTCAATAGTTGAGGAAGTTTGGTTTCAGAGGAAATTTTACAAAACTGTGAAATGCGATTCATTCTTGGTAGATATTGGAAGCGACCTCTTTGGTAACCTCTGTGGCCGTTAGACTCGGAGATCATTTTTCAGCTCGGCATTGTCCACTGTCAGCCATCCACTGCGTCATTCTCAGTGTCCAACGGAAAACGAATGCCTAAACCCAGAACTCTGGGAAAAAGTATACCAATTGTTTCTGTCTAATCAGCAGATTACCTGCATACTTTTGCCAATATCGTCAAACTGGTGACCAAAACCCAGGCTCAACCACAGGTCGTTTTGAGCGTTTATTGCGGAAAAACAGCAGTATTTCCTATCAAGACAAGTCTTTCATCTCTTAAGGAGAAGACATTCACTTCAAGGACATGAGTGCTAGATGGTTAGGTGGGGCAAATGTACCCCACTGATTTGCAAACTAAGCGGGCATTCATCCCATCAGTCTGGAAATGTTACTTGAGTGGAGAAAATCAATCTCTAGTTATACTCGGCGGCTCATCAAATTCGTCGGTTCACAAAGATGGACTTGGTTATGCCTTTTTAAGGTTCATAATTCGCAAGGCGTCAGAATACCAAAAGACGGTCTAATATCGATGGGGTGTTTCTGTGCGTTTGACCAATAGCCTATTTTTCGGTCCAGGACGAAACTTTTTAATCGGATATTCAAATGATCGTTGGGTCTGGAGTTCTGTCACCCAATGTAACCCAATCCACAAAAAATATTGTACTTTTAGACGTCCTCACGTGCTGGTGATACGTGAGCATACGTGTCGATCCGCCGAAGCCCGAGGCGCAGCGGGAAGTTCAAGCATCCATTTCAGCCTCACGCGCACGTGAGAAAGCACCCAAGTCCACAAGTCTATGATCGATTAATCACCACAGTAAATCCCGCGGCAGATTAACCGGTACGCTGGTCTTTTCAGAATGAATGTAAGGGGCGGGCAGCTCTGAGTAGGTTGCGGTCAGGTGGTGATTCTCACAGCCTGTACCATAGGGAGAAGTTAGGATCGGCATGACTACGAGGAAGCCGTTTCGAACGTCACGCAATCCTTGCAACGGCACTCGGTATTCGCACAATGAAATTAAATTTTCAAAATCTATGACGTGTCCCTGATGGTCTAGAGCAATCGGGCAATTGAGTTCAGAGTACCATTCCAAACTTTTGAGCCCCATTTAGGCCATCCCGGGGCTCAGCGATGCCGGGAAATTATTTCACCAGACTTTTTCGCCATAGGTATGCTTTCTCCAACTGACACTGAAATGTGGTGAGTCGCAAAAATATGAACGTAGATGGAGATGGCTTTTGGTTTGGGCACAAACGCAACAAAGTGCAACATGTTGGCGCAAAAAGTTTTATCAACCCCCACTCAAAGGTGTTGCAGCTAAGAGAATTGTCCGGCTAATTGGCCGCCCTTGCAACCGACCGGCATATATGAGACTACATAGTCATCAAAACACAGGCTCTGCAACTCCAGTGTAGAAAAGTCTCAAAGGCTTAACTGAGGCGCCATAGCCTTGAGATCAACTTAAGGGCTTGTAACAGACCAATCGGCATTCGGATGCGCGATTTCGATACACACGCTTTAGAGCGATGGCGACATGCACACCCAATCCAGTACTGACAGCGTGTCCGTCATTCAACGAGTCTGTCTGTGAAGGTTTTCATGTGGCGATTAGTTGATTCCATCCATTGGCGTGATCACTTGGTTGACTCGTGTGCAAGCAACCGGGGCACAATGGGCCACGGTAAGTCAGACCAGTTTTCAGGTGCCAGTTTCAATTCCTTTGTTTCAACTTACAAGCTAAGGCGCATGATGATCGATAGTTATTCATAGGGTAAGAGTACACTGATCGCACACCAGATACCGACCGATTCTCCTTCTGTGATCACTACTAGTTCATTTTCCATTCGTGCAAAGGCTACCAAACGACGACAGAATCAGGATGAAAATTCATCAGCCACAGAGTTGACCTGACACGTGCGGCCCAACTCGAATCGCACACTCAGTCACCCTCTCGTGTTTGTGCCACGCAAGCATTCCGTTACTGAAAGCAATGGAATGCGATTTACTTCATGATATGCCAGGTGAACGGTCGACGGAGAGATCATGCTTTCTGTTCGTTTGTTCATTAATACTCATGTGAATTTCGTCTCAATACCGTGGTTTCCGTCTTCCTTAGCTTCCAGAGTCATTATTCAACTAATCTGATGTCATGTTCATCACATGACTTTACCAGAATAAGGCTGCTTGGGATTTCGTATATTTACGTCTCCTCAACGGCCTGAGTATTTGGGAATTACTAAACTATTATTACTAAAACTAATTGGCAAACCTAAGGTTTAACCGGCTGAGAATGGGGCCCACAATGTTTTTAGGGTTAAGCTGAAGTTGACGACCAATGCTGTAGTGATTAGGATCTGTGTAAATCTTCGAAAACCGAATTGTTTCTATTGTATCATTGCCATCCCAAGTTTCACAAATCTTAACGCTATCACAGTGGTCGTCTGGTTTAGAAACTGATCTTTCAGGTTTATACTTACGCTGCACTTGTATGGTGGGCTATGAATTGTGGAATAGACGCATGGGGCTCGAGGCACGCTGAATTTTGAATGACGAACTTTAAACAAGCGTTAACAAAACACTACTGCGATTATGTCATTCACCGAAAACCAGTTGCTTTGCCTTCATATCGGTTGACTGTACCTCATTTGTTTCATCTTGTGGTATGGTTTGAGACTGAAAATTTTAACCGAATCATCACACTTCGTGAGGACAATACAAGCTGTGGGAGCTGGGCACAACCGATTTCAATAATGAAAGTAAAATTTGTACCTCTATTCCGGCTACGGGAAACCTCTGTCTGTCATATGCATTAGGCAGATGGTCCTTTTTCGGAGGGACGAAAGACTTATTGTGGCTCGCTGTCGTACGGTCATACATTGAAACATCGGTTGAAAAAAGATTGAATTTACGAGTAGACGTGTGCGAAAATCCTATTACGAAGTGCAAACAGTCATCCTGAACACAGAAGTTCCTCGGAGGGATGTAGCACGTAGCCAATTCTATTAGTTTCGGATGAATTAATTTCTAAAATTAGCAGCTCGGTTGTCTTCACATTACACAGCTTTTCGATATTCGACTGTCAGTTTCATCCTTCTGGGTCTTCGACAGATGGAGTGTAACCAAAAAATGGATGATACCGTGCCTTCGAGAGGTTATGTGACTTTTTTCACAATTACAAAACATTGTTACTCCGACTAGAAGACAACCTTTGTTTGTTGATCGCCCCTGTGGAACACCTAGTTTCAGCTGGCTCCGTAATTTTCTGTTTCTGGCTAAATGAACTGATTATTCGTGACTCTGTTAACAACCTAGACCAATTTCAGTTCATTCATCCCCTCAGTGGTCACACATACACACTCCTTGTTTGTTTACTGGGGATGGTTGTTGTACACTCCAAACACTGTAAGCATTAAACTGAAGCCTAATCATCCGTCGTTCAGTTAGCATCTGTCTGCTCCAAGTAGAACACAAGGTTGATGGAAACTGGGGAACTGAGCCTGATTACTACCCGATGAGCACGAAGAAGAAAGAATATAAAAAAAAGTCAGATAAGGGTGTTTGGAATCCATTTTCGAGTGTATTCGGTCCTTTCTAGTATACTGTTCGGTTAGACTGACCATACACACCAGTGAACTCAGGCCAAACCAACGATTATTACAGGCCCTGGTCTAACGACTGAATTTAGTCGCTGGTTTGTTTTCATCAGCGTACACGAGGTGTGTTTAGGTGTGTAGTTCACAAAAACGCGAGTTGTGACGATTAGCACCCTACCAGAAAACATAGGACAAACAAAACGTACCAGGGTTCCAATGCTCCATCGATCGATTAGCACGGTCTGAACTTTGTCAACCTGTGTACGATGTGGAAACATGAAGGAGGAATAGCTGGACAATCCTCACATCGTGAGGCATCTTAATGGAGAAAATCATGGCTTTGCTCATCACTTTTTTCATGACTTAGTGCTTGTCTTCAATCGATGAGAAATACTCAAAAAATTTCCCGTGCAATTCATCTTTTATCTCCCCATTACCCATTTATCGTTAGTCATAGAGTCGATCTTGTTTTGAACTCTTAGACGGCCAAATTTTTGGATGAACGAGGCTAAGAGGTTTCAACTGGAAATTTCTTACTGTAAGTGAAGTCAACCTATGTTAAAAAGCCGTGAAGCGCTGTCATGCTATTTCATTCATGTTGGGGATAATGAGCACTGTACATCTCACGGAACCCCAGGACAGAGTCTCGAACCCGTGACCTACCGGTGATAGGAAGAAAGCTTTCGCTGCAGAGTTATCTTTTGGAAACCACCAACTGAACACGTGCAGACTATTAGATAGGGAAGCAAAACTCTCATGTGCATCTTGTTTATAAAAACTGTGTATCGGTCTTCTTCCCGAACGCGCCTTCCTGAACCTTCCTGCATACTCATTGACTATCATACAAACATAAACGGATGCCTCAAAGAGATTCCACAAATTCCGTAATAAATCTCACTTTTCAGTAGACGCGAAGCGGATTTATGTGAACACCACACACTGCTCACATGCTTCATCAGTAGTATTCACCGTTACACCTTAACCACTCTGCCCGGAGAGGTTGATCAACAGTGTGACTTCCCAGCGCCGTTCATCCTTCGGTCACGGGTTTCACATCACAGGGTCAGAGGCGTTAACTGACCGACCCTACTGACGATCCATAAGTAGCTTAGAAGAATGTAAAACTCACCCAAAGCGTGGAACCTCATTCTGAGGTGTCGTCACTCAAGGAACCACTCAACACGCGTGACCAAGGCTTTCGAATCTCACGCTGCCACTGAGGCGAAGAAGCTCAGGTCGATACTGTATAAATGGAATGATCAGTGTTTTTGTTTTCTATCACATTTTCCCTTAAACTGTGTTCACAGATGATCCAACGGACGCTAAAAGGGTACTTGTCCGGAGTTTCCTCCACTACGTTGAACTCATGAAGAAGGTGAGTGTTGTCTCCAAGTATCAGTTCGATCGACGTTCGCGTCATAACTCGAACACTATTTGAGTAAATAATCCGTTTGTCGACTAGCTAGCCTAACCGTCATTGCACTGGCTGGAAGAGGTTCAATGTCAGTTTTCGGTGTTATTGGTGTGTGCCTTATTCTGATGGTCTGATATCCGCGGTCTTGATGACCTGACACATACATAGATTAAGGACTGGGGTATACCGAAAATTGTTCCTTGAGAAGGTATATAACTTCTTCAGAGTGCCGGGGCTTTTGAACCAAAGACCCTATTTGAGGATCCTAGCCATCCATCAGCCTGGGATGATATTGACAAAATTCCGATGCAGTGCGAATGTCGTTGGGTAGTGAGCTACCATTGCCCATGTTGACTTTGCTGTCTGAAATGCTGACGGTTGGTGTTTTTCTTGACTGACTGTCTTATTCAACGGGAGAACAGCCGTGATACTCTTGAGTTGTCTGTGGGGGGTTCTTTCAGCAGTGGGTATATTTGATTATGATGCATATGCACCGGTGCAGTGATAACTGGACGTTCATAAATTGGGTGTAAGCCGACCACAGTGCAATCCACGTTGTGGTTAAGGATACACACACCTGTGTCACAAATAAGTTGGAACTCAATCCCTTTATCCTAATCTATCCAGAATGTCCGCATCAGAACAGAAAATGTCTGTTTCAATGAGATTGGTTCGGAAACTGAGGTAATTTTCCCAACAGCAGTCTATCCGAAGACAGAATACTCTCACACACAGTCGTCAACAGATTTATACTCCAACTATGGTTTTCTGTCTCATTGCTTATAAAACAGTTACCATAGCTGTCCGAGGAATAGGTTTCATTACTACCGAGATAGTCTGTCAAAGTTTTACGTAGCTTAAACAGAATGATTTGATAGCTTAATGTCCACCTTCTTGGTGAAAACGAAGCAAATGGCAGGCTACGTTCATCTGCAGCAAAGTTACACGATCACATTCACTCCACACATCTATCGACCCGCCTGGTTGGGTTATGTATTAGTGAATCTAATCTGAAAGGAGCCCAGCAGTTTAAATTCTCCCACTCCTGAGCGTGCAGCTGATTGGCGCTGAGCGGTTCGGTGAAGTTCATGCAGTATTAGTTGTATTTATGACTAACAGCAGAATAGCCGCAGTAGGGCTGTATGCCACTATGAACACTCCCGTTATCTAAACGTGGAATGCTGCTCAAAATGATGCTGGAAACTCTTTGGTGGCTCACGAACGGTTTCGCTCTTCCTCTTTCGGCTCATCAGGGTTGCACAATTACCGAGTTTCCCCCAACCTTATGTTCTGTCTGAACCCAAATCGGATAGAATTCGCAAAATGCTTTCATTCGCGCACTCAGTTGTGGTGGTCTTCTTCCGTTATCTATTCATCCATCGGTGGGATCTTCTCGTTTTGATCTGCTCCTTGACTGCTCCTTTCTGCTCGAAGGCGTTAAGCCGTAAGGTGGTAAAGCTACGAGAAACCAAACTGGCAATTTTGTGTGACATTAAAGGAGGAGCGATTGGGCCACCGTAAGGATACTTGTTATCGTATTCAGTAGATTATCCTATTATAGAACTTTTCAATGATGTTCTTGCATTTTGGAAGGCTGTCTATCGAAGAGGGAATGCCATACATCAATCTACTGCCTTGACTGTCCCACAATATACGGATACAAGATTTTAGTTGAATGTTTTGGCGTAGAAAGCGACCTTTTTGATGTTTATCTTCCGGACCGGTTTCCGGAGACCTCAGTGGTTAAGGCTTGAACATACTGTTTGGAAGGCTCCACATTCGAACCCAACCCTGGCGTCTCGACTGCTTCCATCTAGGCTTGGGCGAGTTGGCAGTATCTCAGCTCTCATGCTTAAGGTAACATAGCAGCTGAAAGGTGTTACAGCTGAGCGATTATCACTTACCACATACTGTCGCGAATTCTTTCTACAAATTTCCCCCAATTTACACCAGCGAGTCAGCCCCAAGTGGACCGTTCAGATAGGCTTTTCCACACATTTTGAGCACAATTCATTAAGTGGTGGAGAACACAAACGAATCGCCGGAATTTTCGCGCTTGGACACCATAACCATAGCATATTTTCGAATCCTGCAAAGTGTTTGATTCTCATTCAGTCAATCGATCGGTTTTAATGGCGTTTCTTATCGCCAGGGTAGAACCGCATAAAAACTGATTCTAAGACCTTGAGTGAAATTTTTTTTTTGAAAATTTGAACCGAAGAATGAAGCTTCTTGAAAGAACTTTGCACAATGTTCACGTGGTAAGGTAACTTTAGTGTAATAATGAACTTGAATGTTACACCTCGAGTTCAAATTAAACTGGTCTGATCCCATTGTAAGATGCATTGAATATGAATTGGATTGGACTCGATTCCTCGTAGTAGAGGATGGGTGTCACTTTGAGTACGTTTTTCCTGTCCCGGCTAACAAGCTCATTCCAAACACCGTAGTTTAGTTTAAAACGAGACGAATGGCTCACCGTACGGGCTGGTTTGGCAAAAATTTGTGGCATAAATTTCGTTTCATCAAAATGATGAAAATTCCAATGTCAGCTTCATTCAACATTTATAACCCCATGTCACTTATGCCATGATAAATCTACTTTCTTGAATGACGTGTGCCAGACACCTGTGAGCGACACACCTGAGTCTAATCTCGTCTGGATGAAGGTGAAACTGGTAGACCTGTTGGTGGATATTCCATCCTCAATAAAACTAATCGTCGTTCAGCTGTAGCACCCTTTCTATGCGTAGCTCTCATGCAATCCGAAGGAAGCACGAGGGTTGGGATACTGGACCTGTTGGTGGCTATTCCATCCTCGATAAAAGTAATCATCATTCATCTGTAGCACCCTTTCGATGCGTAGCTCTCCTGCAATCCGAAGGAAGCACGAGAGTTGGGATACTGCCAGGTTGTCCAAGACTAGACAGAAGTCGAGATGTATAGATCTGGCTCGAACCACGGACCCCACGGTCAGTAAATTCGCGCTCTAGCCACTGAGCCACCTCGCTCCTTCTATCCCCAATTGTCAAATATGACACAAAACGTTTCGGCTCACTAAGTTGGTAGAATAAAGTGTGATGTTTGAAATGTTCTGATGGCTTTCTGACTGCCAGTGACAAATTAGTTTGTTTTCACGTGGAGAAGTGTATCACTGTTCTCCATAAACTATAGCTGATCTGATTGCTTTGCAGATTAACCAGATTGTACTTCATTTTGGTTTCAAGGATTACGACTGTATGGGACAGGCGCGAACACTGCAAATGCTCAATGAATTACACGCGAGAGCAAAGGATGAAGCTCTGATCATGCTGGATAGTGAAATAGCCGCAGATGATCCCGCGGTGGTGGAGCAGTTTCGAAATCGATTGATGCAGAACATTGAACTACAGCTGGACAAGCGAAGAAATGAACTTGAGGATCTTATTAAGTGGAAAGCTGTTCCCCGGAATGGTAACAACGATGGTGGAATCGACGAGAGAGTAAGTTTTCAGAGTGATTACATGGTCCATAAGGAATTCCTAGTTGATTTCGGCCTGAGAGGGTGGAACTATCATTGAAACCGGTAAAACAAGAAACGGGAAATCAGCGAGAGGGATGCGATCCATCAATTGACACAAAAAGGATCCCGAATAATTTCTGTTGTCCTGTTGTTTTTTTATGGAACTTTATCAATTGACTGAAGTCTCCTCACACTCTAGTCAGTGTGTCTCAGTCTTCTAAAATGCCGTAGTAAATACAGGACCTCTGTAAAACGGACACCTTTCAAGAAACCGATAGCTCTTGGTCTCTGGGATAGGCTCCGAATCCCAGCCATAGAAGGAAAATGAGACGAACATCCCAACACATCGGACAACATTTTCTTTATTGAAGAAACCTTTCACATTGTATTTGTTACCTCACCTACCAGTCTTGAGATTAACTTACAATTTACAGCTGCGGTACTCCACTTTTCCAAACATTTATGGGGCCAAATTGCTTAATCTATTTTTCCCCACTTCCACTAAACATTTGCTCCACCAGGTAAACTCTTCATCCTCCGAAACGGTAAAGTTTTGTATGGCTTAATTATCCCCCGTGTAATCGCAAAGAATGTGTAGTTTGGTCAGAAATATAGTGCCAATGCGGCTATCGAATCTTACAGGCAGAAGGACTTTGATTCCCGCTTCAATCTTAAGGTACTGATGAACATAATTCTGTCAGGTAATCACATTTCAGGCTGGTTGTTTTGCAGAACTGCCCAAATGAGTACGTGTCAAATAGGAACTCTAAGCACCGACCTGGTCGTCCTGGCCTAAGAAAATTGAGCCATATGGTTTGGAGAGGTACTCAAGGCTCACGATAATTCCGTTCATTCTCCGAGGCTTGAGAATGTGCATAGATAATGTGCCGTCTTAGTTCATAGGGTAGATTTGTATACAAGTGAGTATTTTAGACACCGACGGAATACAAAGCATCTAAGATTTGGTGGAATTTAGCTTTAACCGTTGCATGTATCGGTTTTGCCATTTTTTTTCAGGGCCTCAAAATCTGTTGTGCACCTGATAGTGCCAAGGTGTATGATAGTCTTAGCAACCAAGGTTCTTTGGACCTCCGCTTGCCGTTATAAAGGCGGGAAGCTTTCCAAAATTGCCAACTACGTCAACTCTAGATTATCCTATTGAGTTTGGTTGTATATCCGATATCTGTTGAATTCGCGTCCACGCCATTCTGGTTTGAACAGTTCTCCTACTTCCCTGACAAATTTGTTCTAGTGAGTTCACACCAAAGTGGAAAGCACTGGATTCCAGTTCCGCTCTTACTAGAGTTCATCAGCAGTGCCAGGATTCTAACTCCGAATGTCTGACTTGCAAGCGCCGGACGTCACACCATTACACTAGCACCCTCTGAACATAGCTAAACCATCACGTTTGAACAGCCGAGCATGATCACACTTGAGCAATAAGATTGATTTGTCCGACGCCTCCAATGATGACTTAGTAAAAGTGCTGGTTCTGACCCGCCTATCTGGGATTCCCAGTCAGGTAGTGCTACGCACGCTTGACATATGCTAGATAATCCGTGGTTATTTTGTATTTAGTTGTGGGATATATAGAATTCATATTCGCAGTAGTCTTGTTTGAAGAGTCTCTTGGCTGTCCTGCCATTCGCTGGTGAAGTAGTGTAAACACGCTTGCCTCGTATATCACATGTCCGGAGCTCAACCGGTGATACGTCTTAGGATATGCACCACTTATAAGGACGAAACTCCAGTCCGGTGAATCCAGCGTGTAGCGTTGACTCAAAAGGACGACTGCATCAGGACAGTAGGAAGACTGTTCAAACAAGAGTTACGGTGAGTCAACATTTTTCGATATCCAGCTGTCCTACACCAAGTACTGTGGATATCTGTTGTAGCCAACCATCTGTTTCACCATCTCTGTTAGCGACACAGCATTTAGAAGCCTTCAGCTTGAACAACTTGGTAGTATATGTCAGCCCTCGCTCTATTCAAGCGACTCAATTATGTAACAGCTTAGTTCTCAGTTGTCACGAGTTCCTCATAAGGTTGACTATTTCTCAAGCTGCTCAGCTGCTACCTTTCGCTGTTTGTTGCATTGGAGAGGTTTAAATCACCTTCCAGAAGGAACCCGCTTGTACTTGAGAGTATACTATGGAAAGCCTGGGGCATATATCATGCTAGTTCTCACTAAAACCCAGTTACCGTATAAGCGCTTGTGTGACATCGGCTCATCCCTCGCTATACATTCGATCTTCACTGTTTGATAGGAAGCTTTGATGTTGGCACTGAGGTAAACACCCGGCTATTTGACTCAAAGGTTAAGGACTGTACCTCATAGGTTTATCTAGCGGCTTACTCGAAACACCACAGTTGCTGTTCCATAAAACAATCGTCTAAAGAGCCAATTGGGAGTGGTTTGTTCTGAGGAGGTGATTGCCCCAGAGGTGGATACCGAAGAATCAGATTACCTAGCGAAATCACACTGAACAGGTGACAGTCACCTTGGCCTATATACTCAGTAGTCAAACCAGGAAGATAATAGTAGCTTTGCGTCGAGCCACATTACATAGCGTCTTTCCTGGTCCGCACTGTCTACCACCACAGTATTGCAGCAGTGTTTTGTAGGGCAAACATTTTTTGAGGTTGTCAGCAGGCGAAACGTAGTCCGCCCGACGCTATACATCTTAACTTTCCCATTGTTTCCAGCTGAAAAAAGAACTGGATCAACAGAAACAGCATTACGAATTGTTGGTGAGTAGGTATTGTTCACAGTCTAGGAGACATTCACGTTGGAAACGGTGTAGATACTGGAGTCGCAAGCTACATTGTTCCACCCTATTCACTAACAATACTTCTAGGTAACATAAGAGTATTAACCAAAGGAGATTTTGTGGACAGTGTTTTCCGATGAATGTCGGGCTTTCCTATGAATTGATGTGATCCTTGAGAAAGATGAAGGGGTGGAGACTGAATACCGACCCGCCGGGTCGCCAGGAAATGCCAGATTTGCAAAAGCTTCCCTGTCCCGAGCATTCTCTACTACCAGAAAACAATATTTCCCCTTCGATTTATACACTCGTCTGCATATTATTTTGATTATTAAGGGAGACTCAGTTAGAACCCAGCTGAATCTCTGGTTTATGGTGTTCTCAAGCAACTGAATATTCTGCACCAATCCACTCCTAAACTTATGAGGACTAGTTTCCTTAAACAAGTCAACCAAGTATACCATTTGGCGAAATACACTAATTTGCATACCAGCTGGAGCTCACCTGGAAGCCAGTTGAATCTCTCGCCAAGGGTGTTCATAAGTTTGACAGAAACTCGGGAACCGCAACTACGTGATGAGCCCCAAGAAAGGCATTACCGGTCGTAGGCTATCGAAGCGTTTACAGCAAGCTTATAAGTAGTGTATTATGTCTATACGATGCATCGCGATATATCAGATATCGTACCAACTGAAGAATGGGGCAGCCTGATGCAGCACATTCAGTTGCTTGAGAACATCATAAACGAAAGATTCAATTCCAGGCGAGCCTCCAGTCTAAACCAAATTTGGTATGAAGATTAATGCACAAGTCGAGTTTCGTGCAGTTTGGGTTCACATAGAACATGTGGTTGACGGAAACTCAGTGATTGCGCCTAACTGCTGTGCCCGAAAAGTAACAGTGAAAACGGTCGTCGGCTGTCGGAGAGTTTTCAACAACCTTAGTAGTAATGTATTTCGTCCACACAGGAGCTTCATTCACTGCGGCCCTAATCTTCACCGTATTTTAGGCTGAGATTCGCTTTAAAAAAACTGCCCGTGTATACAATGTTGTATCTCTAGATGAACAACACGTTGGATGAACAGAAAGAGCATCATGCAAGATTGGTAGGTTTTGGTGTTCAGAGTTCTATTGATACTGATCTTCAAGTAACATTTGCATCTATGACAGATACTCCCGTCCGAACAGGAATGCGATTTTGACTTGAGAACAAACTGAATGCAGTTAAATCTATCTCTTATGGTGGTCCGCCAGAACTTAGTGTGCTGCACCAGGCCACCTCGTGTTGCAGTTGGTACGATTTTCGAGCTAGCGCAATTCTTTGTTGTCTAGGCGTAGCAGACTACTCATAATGTCGCTGAAAAAAGTGGTTCACTTCAGTATGTGCGCCGTTGGGAGTGCATTATGAGTGTTTGTTTTTCTGCGGTTCATGCCATCCCCCCAGCACTCAAGTCCCCCTCTATTTCACCAGTTTACCAATTCTTCGGCCTTGGTAAGCTACCTTCAGGCGATGCTCTCTGTGCACGGGACCCTCAAAAGCTCGGGTAATACAATCCTTCTATCAGCGTGACTCCTTGTCACCAAAGTAAACCGATGAACTGATAAGCGGAAAGACCTTGCCAGAGACTCTATTCAATAAGGATATATAAGAAATAGTGGATGACTCCAACATTCCAAATCCAAATTAATACATTTTGCTATTAACATAACAAGTACCCTAGAAGAGTACTCAAGTCGTATCAATAAATCAGAATTAGTTCTGAAGAAAATTCGCACCCAATTCATGACTGAAGCAGAATTCGATGTAGGAAGATGTTGCTGAGTCTAGTCCCCAAATTACGCGGTTTTTGTAGGTTTGACATGGTTACGTTTGGTGTATTATTGCAATAGCCAGTAACACAGCTTTACTAGTTTGATGTGGGCAAAAGCCTTTATCCAGTCAGTTAGAGGAACTGTCAGCGCGATGATGAACCAATTTGAAATGGTATTGATGTTTCCGACTTCCGGTCGATGTCCGATTCACACAGTCACAGCGAATCCGAGGTAAAACGTCCGGGTGGTTTTAGAGCTTTAATGGGACCGTTTCGCGGTACTTCATAAATTGTCCCCTTCTGATATGCCTTTAGAAGCTAGCTTGTGAGACAGTTACCCCGAATTTCAAGTATTCCTGAATTGAGGTGTACCATATTGCCATAGTATTGCAGGCCTATAACCGTACCGACAACAACGGGTGTCCACCGAAAATACTGTACAGAACGGTAAGGTGAGACGGCGGTGTAAAGTAGCGGTTAACTCGCGTGACACGCGTAACATGAGGAAAAGCAGTCCTCAAGGACATTAACCAAAAGCCGAATGACTGGAAGGCATACATAAAACCGTTCAAAACGTTACATGATTCGCAGTCGTCTGTGCTCTTCCAGTGGTCCTTGGTAAGGGCTCTGTGTCCCATTGTGTTTAGTGTCTGAGTTCTCATCCATTTCAAATGCATGGCGTTACTTAGAAGACTCTCAGTGTAGAGTTTAGAACGAAACAGTTCTAGCAAAGGGGACCTTTTCAGTATCTGCAATTCCGAATAGGATATTACATATTTGGTATATATTATGTATACATATTATGTATATTATATTTAACATGGGATATCGCAAATCCGAGAGAATGTGGCACGACCCGTCAGAATCAAAATTTGCCGACCCAAGATCAACCCGTGTTTTGCTAAATCCTACACCGGAGGCAAGAGTCACGTGGTCCTGTCAGTTAACCAGCTGATCACATGAGCTTTGATGCCCACGTAAATCGCTACTTAACATAACGTTCACGCTGGTAAAGTTCTATATTGATGGCGCCTTGCCGTGCGGATGTTGATTTCTGGTCACGACCTTAATCTCTGAGCCCTTGCACTGTTGCGGAGAGAGCTACTATAGGCAGCGTTTTTCAAACAAGATTCGGAGTGATAAGTCTGTAACGTATGCATATGGTGCCACATGTACGCATCATTCCTAGTATGATACGCGTCCCGAGGCACAACCGGCCGGAAATTTATATTTATTGATCTGTGCACCAGCCCTGCACGAACACCTTTGGCATGCTTCGCCCCAGTCCATGGGATCGCCATTGGTCCTTCTTCGGTGGTGACTGTCGCTTTGGTCTCATAAGATGTGATGATTCTCATGATAAGCTTGGTTCCAGAGAGAGGATACCTCCTTTTCTGAGGGCGGACAATGGCTTTTCAGGCGTATTCTGAGTCTTGTGTCGTTCTTTGATTGAATGGAAACGATAGAAGATTCAACGCTTTCATCAAACAAATTTTTGCGGTTTTCGATCGGTTATCCACTCGGATAAAAAATTTTGAGCTTGCCTTTCAAACTTCCTGTGGCTGTCTGTCAACCGTGTCAGAAAATCCCATAGCTCCAACCTTAAGGTATCAAACCGAAACTCTACAGTTAGTGTCAACCTTCGACAGGAAGTTGGGGGCACTAGTTATGGTTCTGGTTGGCCTGGTAAATGAAGCAGATGTTCCATGCCATAGAATCCAACTCCCGCTAATTATATTTTTTGGGGAAAACAAATTTTGGAATTTAAGAGTTCGACGGCGATGGCCCTGCCAATCAAATCTGCTGGACCAGCCTAATGCCACAAGCAGCAAAGACGCTTAAGACTGTTCAGATTACTGGGGTAGCCTGGATTTAAGGAGCAAGCTCTGAATAGAGAATCAAAAGGGTTTTCTAATCTTTTTAAATAAACACCGAGTTGCGCAGCTACCTTAAGTCGCACAAGAGTCACAAATGTGTGCCCAGGTCGTAATCGATTAGTCCAGAATGGGCAATCTAAGTTTCGAATTAGTTGTGGCGGAACTCAGCCCTTGCCGAGAAAACCCAAAGCCTTTTACAATCAGCGGTCTTATAAACTGGTTCAGCTTTGATAACCTTCAGTGTGTTATCATCCCTGAATTGTAGCTAGATCTGTCGTCATTTCCTGGGTAACTTTATCTTGGTTTCGCTAAGGAAATGTATTCAGTCGAATACCTTTTCGAACGTTCTCTGAAAAATATTCGACATTAGAGGGCGGACCGGGACAACATCCTTTTACCCAAAAGGTACATTCATTGGCGGATATAAAGAGTCTATTTGCGAAGTATTTTTGCTAAATCAGACTGAAAAATCAATGTTCACAGGCCTAACAGCATATAGTATCAAACGCTGCCAAAAATGTCCGTCACTTTCAAACTCTGATTACACGAAAACACTGCGTATAAATTTGGTGAACACTTTTTGACAATACATAACCTCTTTCGCTCTGATTGAGGCTCATGAGGTAGCCCTATTTCCCGACTTTCCGTCAACTTTATGTTCTACATGAGTCCAAATTGTACGAAATTCGCTAACTACACCCATGTGTCTGCTAGTTTGGTTTTTATGGAAGGCTCAGCTGAATCCAGCTTAATCCCCCATTTATGATGGACTCTTTCACATGAAATAGCCGAATGTTTCGTGTTCCAATCGATGTGATATTTGAGATGTCGCAGTATATCTTCGTACAATTTGGGTTCAAGTAGAACATAGGAATGGCGAAAACTTGAGAACAGCGCCCGAAAAAAAAGACAAAACTAGGTTTTCAAAGAGTTTTCAGTGAACTTATAAGTAGTCTTCTTCTTGAGAATATGCCGTTTTAACGGTGATACTACTGATGGGGAGGCATGCGAGTAGTATGTGTTGTTCGTGGAATTTCGCTTTGCGTCTTTTGAAAAGGGGAGATCTGTTGCGGAATTTGTGGAATCACTTTGTAACATCTGCATGGATTTGAGCGAGGAATGATTGGAGGTAATGAAAATCCAGAAAAGTTGAAGAAGACGCGTTCAGAAGAAGATGGATATTCAGTTTTTGTAAATAAGATGAAAATTAGAGTTTTGCTTCTCCGTTCAGTGGTCTGTAACCGGTCAGTTGGCCGTTCCTAATAAACAACCCCTCAGTGAAAGCCTTCTTCCTTTCACCGTGGCATCTCGACAATCGTAGTAATTGAGACATGGGGGATCTCCCATTCAAACCAAGTTGATGTACAAAGCAGTGTATCTGATTACCCCCAGTTTGTTTCCAAAAGGTACTTGTTTAACGTTCGAGAAGTCTGTGACTCAGATCGTTGCACCTATCAAACAATTTACAGTTTTGTCGAAAACTTCACTCAGGTGTTAACCAAGGAGCCGGGATGGACGAGGGTAGCATAGTCCCTCCGGAGATTTAGCAGAACACCTTAAACTCCCTCTTCTATTTCTAACTTGTGTACAGCCAGCCCAGACCTCAGCGATAGCATTCGCTTACCATCTCTGTTTTGTTTTGAAATTATACTACCTGATGGCATTGGAGGATACAACTTACGTCAATCTTGCACCCATCCGTGTTCCAGAACGTCTACAAATTAACTCCTGGTTAACTTCTTGCGTAAGAATTCCGCCCTGTATCTGTTTCCATCACCTCCGCACTTTGATTACATTCAGATGAAAGTCCAGCTAGATGAACAGAAACTATTTTACGAAACCTTGGTAAGTTCTGCCAGCGTAAAACGATTACATTGTGTCAGTCGTTAGTGAAGCCTTTGCCGTAGCTTGCTTGTCAGGATCTTAACATATGAATATGAGATCGGTTATCAAGACGCCCCTATAATAGAGACTTCATTAGTTCCCCAAAAGTACCCTTTGAGTTGTATGAGACGTTCATGACCTCACAAAGATCTTTGAACTATCTTAACAGCAAGGACAGTAACTTGCAGCCTAGGTTATTTCTTGTTTTCTCAAAAGGTGATCAGCCCATGATCGTCCTCGTTCGCAACCGAGGTGTACTTTGTGTAGAACCGCATCTTCGTGATAGCAATGGATTTGTCCTGCTTCATGCGTTCACCAGATGCGTTTGACAGTGGTGAACACATGCGTCCGATAGTGATTCATTTTTGGCCTTTCAGAGTTTCTGCATCATGCCGCTATGCGTTCACGCCTGGTAACTGGCCGTAGGCAATGAAGTCTACCTTCATTACACACATGCCTTGTTTCGGCTTTGGCATCACGTCTCTTGATAGAATCACTATACTACCAACTTGGCGAGTTGAATCATAGCATCATTGGACTTGGGGGAGATGGTGTGATAGGATGGTTTTGGAGGAGCATGGAGGCTCTGGATTTCTACAGTTCAGGGAGTCAAACACTGTGTTGGTTTAGACCAGCCAGTAGGCGGGTTACTGATAGCCCCCAAGAAATGCCCATCGTGACCCTAAGCTTGCACGTTGTCAGTAATCTAATTACATTGCTCAGGGGACTGAGAAAGATGGCTGTCATAGTTGTTCAAGTTTACTCGTGAATTACATGGTCAGTTAAAGTGAGAAAGTTCGTACGGATATTCAGGTACCATCTATAAGCGAAGCAAGGACTGTCAATGAAGTCGACGGAAAAGACTGGCTTGTTGCCACGCTAATCTCGTTCCACTAATGAGTGTCCATTACATTACAAGTGCAACTGTCTAGCACTGTTCGCATGCTCTGTTGAGGGTTCAGTTGTGATAAGTCAACCATCCGATTAACCCTGTTGTACTCGGTTAGCCGGAGTTCCTCTGCGGTGGAAGGCACCGTTGATCGGCTGTCGAGGGACATTGGAATGCGTTTCCCATTGGCGAGTGTGCTATCGGTGTATGGCTATTTGTAGTGTGGTCAAATCATGCATGCCACTGAGTACTCCGTGCAGGCCACTTCCGTAGGCCCGATCGCCACTGGCAGTCCATATCAATTTTTGAGTGGTTTGCACGGTGTGATTGAAAGATGGACAGTTACCTAACCGAGCACCTTTATCTATGATACCTAATATGGCCCAGAAATTGTTGTTCCGATACACATGTTCAGGATGATGGCTACAAAATGAACTTTCTGTTCCCTTCCGTAAAGGAAAATAAGTTCATCTGATGTGTACACAAAGTTGCACAGGTTTCAAAACTCGCTCTGGTGAGTTGTGCTTTCTACATTCCACTGTGTTTCATGTATAAACCGATATTAAAATCTGCTTTTGCATTGCAATTTAGTTAGAGACGAAAGCCACAGAAATGAACAAACTCAAACAGGTAAGTTGTTTTAATGCCCATCGGGAACTTGTTCAGTTTCTGTATTTATGTCAGTGGTATGTTTGAGTAATCTGCCTTTCAATGACTAGCTTGTGAAACAGAAAGTTTAGACTATATTTTGAAAGCGGCACACAGGAGAGGTATTGTTTAAGTTGCAGTCAGAAGTAGCAGTATGCAGTATGGACAATCTGATGAGAACAGCCGGATGCGGTAATTGGTGCGCACCCTAGCGCTTTCAAAAACATGGAAACATATGGCGTTACTTCTAGTGCCAAAGCAAATCAATCCAAGCTTTATGCCCCAAAAGTACCTTGAAAGTCGTTTCCATTTTGCAAAAAAGTGTATCTAATGCGTGTGACAACTACGGAGCTGTTAGCCCGATTCCCGTCTTAACCAGACCCTTCGAGCCGTTTATTTAACGTCGTCTTACGGGAACGCGTGAAGTAGGGACCCGAGAACAGCAAGCAGAATTACGACCGGGAAAGGGCTGTGTGGACCAAACATTTCATGGTCTGTATAGTGTCAGAGCAACGTCAGGCATATGGGCGCCGTAAACTCTTGGTGTCCATTGACTTCAGGACTGCGATCGATTCAGTTGACCGGTTAGTTCTTTTCAAAAGGCTTGCTCAACGGGGCATGTCCCAGGATATTGTAAGTTTTATACGGTGTTTGTATTCACATACTTGTGGGCACGTGAATGTATATGGGGAGCTCTCCAAAATCCTTCCTGCAAGCAGTGATGTCCAACAAATTGCATACACTCTCCGATTTTGTTTAATTCCGTCACTGATGGGGGAATGAGGCGAACATAGGAAGGTCTGCAACACCTCTCTCTCCGAGGGAGAGACTTGTCGACCTAGAGTATGCGGACAACATTGTTCTCATTTTTTGGAAAAAGGCAGGACGCGTAAGCATTTCTTGAAAAACTGATCAAGATCATTCAGTCTTGGCACTGGGTTCGCATCCACCAAGTGCAGAGTTTAGCTTCAGGACCTACAGTCTTTGAAAGTGCTTCTTGGAACTCAAGGAGTGACGCTGGAGGTCATGAGACATATGGAATACGTATCTCTTGCATCATCTGTGACGTATTCTATTAACCGGATTAAAAGTGAAAATCTCAAAGGCCAGAATTTGTCCTCGCCAATTTGGACCACCTGTAGGTGTCGAATGATGCATGAATAAGATTACGGCAGCAGGACCTGGCCACTTCGAGTGAAGCACTTGAGATGTCTTCAGGTCTTTGTAACCGACGCTGAAATCGTCTTTAACCAACAAATTTGAAATGAGGTAATCGAAAGGTACGAATTATTTTGGAAATTAATTCCACCGTGACTTTCCCCAATCTACCTTAATTATGAACCTATCTGGGAAGTGTGTTCAGCTGCAGGTTGTACTACTGAGATCTCCACGTTCAAAGAATGATTTCATCCATTCGGGAAACGCATGAGCGTTATACATCACTGTTGACTGCATCTTTTACCCACGATCAGGTGGCCAGAACAGCCAAGGAAAGACAACTGGACATGGTAGTTTTATTGCTTTTGTCATATCTGGAATATGTAGGTAAATCGGAATGAGATCATTGTCGGTTTCTTTTTTGCCTGGAGAATTACAAGTATACTTGTTGCGATTTTTAGGAGCTGAACCGAATTTCTAGTGAAAAGGAAGAAGTAAGTCAGTGTCTCTTCGGGTTTTTATGTCGCTCATTGTACGCAACTCTGAGGAGTGAAATCTGACTAAAAGTGAATCCTGAGGGTAAAAGAGATGCCCTTAGCTCGCGGTACGCTTCTGAGACAGTGGAATGTGTCAGACTGTCCTGTTTAACCTTTAACTCCTGGGTACTCTGAGGACTCTCCTTGTCTGATAGATGAGCGGAGGCATGACAGCCTTCTTACTGCAATCTCTCCTGAATCGACTGGACTGATATTGTTTGTCTGGGTTCGAATTACATGTCTTCAAGTAATGCACCCGGCTGTTTAGCGTGTAAGGAACGTCAGGTCACGCCTGGCCAAAAAATGACCTCAAAATTTTAGAAATCAGGATAATGTCCGCTGCTTGGATGGTAAGTTCACAAGGTGGTCAACTAGCAGTGACCTTTGGTATGTCTGCTGGATTGGTCCGGTTTTACCTACGTGTCTTTTCGGAGAGAATGTGTTGCGCTTGGCTTCATCGGTAGGATCGGGTGAATCCAGAAGGATCCGATGGGACGAGAAATATTGACAGTAACGTCTCTTAGTCAACACCTTTTTCCTGGGCTTCATTTGCTGTATTACTTGTAGGAGAATGCTGCTTTTTTTTAGCTTTGAGCAGGCTTTCAGCCCTTGGTCTCCGTCACTTGAAGATAATCTTGAAGGTTTGAACCCAATTCGAACTCTCAGTCCAGTCTCTGGGTGAACTATAGGCTGAGGTTCATTTTGTCGGAGTACTTTGTACTTTGTGCAAATCGTGGCACAAAATATCTAGGTTAGTCGAATTGTTTATCGATATTCTGCAACCATGTTGGACTTGCCACATTTTACGGTTATTCTTTTAGCTACAACGGCGACTTGAGGAAAACACTAGCGAAGCAACAGAGATGGTAAGTTTGGAGATTCTCATTGCAAACATATTTCAGCCTTCCGTCATTCTACCAAGTGTGTTTAGATTTGTTAGAACAGGTGTTACATCCAAACCATAACCCGGTGTGTTGGTGTCGGAGAATCTGCGACGGGGCAGTTAGGAAGTGACATTGAAGAATGTGTCCAGCACCAGAAGTTGGGTTGATTAAGCCATGTATTGCGCATGCCTAACCATCGTTTGCCGAAGAGAGTGCTGTTTTTCGTGTCCTATTCATAGTGGCCAACCCTTGACCTGGCGGAGTATGAACGTCTGGGTGCTGTCGGTGCCACTCGCTTTTCAGGGTGAGGATCGCGTGATCCCCACTGTGCCTGGTTGGAGACTGCCAGGCGATGTCAATGGTGTTCGTGTTATCCATTTCTATCCAGATTGCCTGAGTGAGTGTCTGGAGGTGTAGACACCTCGGAATGATTGTAGTAAGCCAGCACTAAGTCCGTTCCCTGTCTCTCTTGATTCTTTTCTTCACAATAAATAAATCGTGTTTGCACGGCAGCAAAGCACCATTGTTGAACACTGGTGTCTTGCCGTCAATGATGATGATGATGGCCTTACTTCGATACAGTCGTGTCTTGCCTTTGAAGGGAAATTTCTCGCTGAAGAACACAAAAAAAGAGATACGTGAACGTAGGATGACCTCCATCATCGCTCATTGCTAGACTCTCTCAGGCTTTAGAAACACCGTTCAGGTCTAAGAAGGAACAATATTAGTGAGGATTGTATCCTGTAGAGGAGCCATTGCGTTTAGCTCTCTCATCCTTGTTGGGAATCACCAACAAGTTGCATCTCCCGAAATTCCACGGAGTTTTGAATCCATGACCCTCTCAGCCCAGTGGTTGGGCATTTAACCGTTCGGCTATGAGCTACTCAAAAGCAGTATGATTGCCTCTAACTTAGGCAGGACAGCTGATCACACAGTTGAGCAGTCGATGGTTGTCAAACAGTTAGGTATTTAATCTACTGGCTGGATGGTCGTGGGTTGAACACTCCTTGGAGTTTAGTGAGACGCGCACTGCTGATGATTTTCAGCAAGGATGAAACAGCCGTACAGCGCCCTGCTCTCTTCAGCATAGATTGACTCTACTTACTGGACGAAATCTTCACCCTGTAGTGAAATTCCCGGGGAGTCGCCAGTCGAGCAGTCAACCCACACGAGCAACTGCATGATAAGGATCCGGTGAACTGGACCCTTGTAAGTCAAGTTGGATGGGACAATAAACTAAATTGAACATCAGTGAAATACACTCATTTACAAACAAATTTGGTTTTGCGTGAGACTCACCTGGAACCCAGTTGAATCTCCCGTTTGTGACGTTTCCGGGCAACTGAATGTACTACACCAGGCCGCCTCGTGGTTCAGTTGCTACGATATCTCAGAATTCTTTGTACTACCGAAACATAAATGGGACTCATTTAGTTGACAGAGCAAGAAAATCTTCTCTCAGAGCGAACTTAGAGCCAAACGCCAGTCCCTAGCCAGCATGCTCCGTGAAAGTGAGCGTTCATTCGGGGTTCCTCTAGGAAAGTACTGCTTTCAAAGCCAAAAAACTTAAATCGTCAAAGCTGAAATCAACTATATCGTTATCAGCTTTTATTTCAAAGGGTGACTCGGCGTCTACATCACACTTGGGAAAACCTTTCCAGATGCTTCACTCAAAATAAAGTTCACGTCTATCCAGCCTGTGCCCATAACTCTCAAAGGTAAGCTGTCGGTGCATGCTTAAAGCATTATAGTCTACTCCGTTACCTCGGGCTGTTCAGCAAACCACATGTATCGTACGACTTGGCAATAATGCGAAAGAAATGAGGAGCATATCCCATTTTAGCCAAAGACCGGATCGATAAGATCTAGTACTTACGCAGTTGTCGCTCAGTTGACCTACTCCAATCACGTGGTTATTTGTAACATCGCGTCTCGAATACTTTATCAAAAGCTCATCTACCTACTAGAATCCGCCCAATATTAGTGTGGGCCACAGCTGAAGCAATCGTGATTCGTTCACGCAGCCCCAGTCTGTTCACTCAGAAAGTGCTTGTGTGCACACTGTCTTTCATGGTCTGCCCACGTGACCGCTGGCCAACCAACCAACCAATCGTGACGTGAGCAGTTTTCGCACGTTTGCCAGAAGGCTCCGCTTTATCCTTGTTTTACACTTGTTTTCACTCGCTTTTAGGTTTATAGTCTTTCGATCCGTATTGACCAGAAGAACAAGTCCTGAAAAAAAAACGAATGTTCGTCAATTTGTGTTTTGAATTTGTCAGCTTTATCCTGACACATTCATGCGTCCCAATATGTTCACATTCTAACATTATTAGTTTATTGCTCAAACTTAGCAAACAGCTTACTACCGGCCTCATGGTTTAGGGTTCATCAGGTATTATCTAAGATTATCAATCCCTAACTTTAGCCGTAATTCGGTTGGAGCTCACTTCAACACGCTTATCAGCCTAAACATTTACCTTCCAAGGGTTCGTAACTTTCTTATGTTCCAGGCAACCTAAAGTGCACTGCACTGCTTTGGAAACTGAAAATGACTGGGCGACCAGGTTGTCGGTCTTAAGCACAAAGGGATTCATCACAGTGTCCACATTGGTGGCGTTGTTGTTCCTCGTTAGCCCGTCACCTCTTTTATTTGTAAGCGCTAGTGTTCTAGCACAACAGTCTGACTGGTTTGCGTTTGTAGCTGCTTCATAACCAATCGATGACATCCCAGTGAGCATACACATTTTGCAGGCTGACTTTCTTTCCCGTTTTGGGGGACAGGAGAACGGATTCGATAGCATACAACAGAAACAATGTGTAGTAATGGTAGGTCTTACATTCTATTGATTAGTTGGCAGTTGTTCATAGGTTGTTACCGATAACTGACCCTTGTGTAGAACGATAAGCCCCCCTCTCAAACGAACGTCATCATGTGTCGCACCTGCAGTTGAATCGGTGGTTATAAACACTGTGGAGGAGAAATTCACTGAATATTAGGTGCCCTCTTGCCAGTTTGGATACGACGAACCTGTTTTATCAGGCGAAATGCCGCACCGAAACCGCTTCACTGCTCATGGGCGTCGCCATTGCCAAGAAGCTTGGTTTTGGAAGTTGTGTAACTTATTAGTGCACAGGTGGCGATAGCCATAATACAAATCAGAAGGTGAATGTGCACTAATAGAAGTTGCGACACGTAGAAAAATGAATACAATGCGAAACAACTTCAGCGATTCTTTTGCCGAAAACACTAATCTGGAAGTCTCAGACCGAGCAGTGAGCTGGGGCATATCTCTAATTGCATGTTTATCGAACAACCGTTCAGTTTATAACGAAAGCACCGGAGAAATATCCGTTGGTCACAGTACACATCTGCATTCTGCGGTAAGCATAATTTTGTGAGAAGTCCATGAAAAAAGTCGTTCATGGTTAGTCTAGCAAGGCACAAAATCACAAGAAGTCAGTCCTGAGGTTCCAAAATCACCGAAGTTTGGATAACAAGGCGCCAGCACATAAGGAGGAAATCGCGTATTTTGTCGCAAAGTTCAAAGAACCAGGTGTGACCTCATTCTCTGGCGATCGGCTAGTAGTTGGAGGGAAATCTTAGAGAATCGCATATGATCCCATGCACACATGCCAAGAAAGTCGGACAAACATGTAATCAATTTTCGAGTGGTGACAATCAGAGGATAAACGAAATGCCATGTTATCACTCATGTTAGGTGCTTCGGAAAACAATGGAGTAGCTGGAAGGCATGGCCGAAGATGTAGGATGTCAACTCTTGAGCGGCTTGTCCGTGATGTGTCACATCGCTACATATTGGTTTCTACGATCTAACACAATCCACAATAGACATACGACTATGGTCGAAACTGCCTGATCTTATCGAACCGGATTACCGAAGGTCTTTGACATGCCGAAGAAAGGAAATTATTCAAAATTTCCAAATACTCATGTCTACCAAAACATGTCTGGACTTGGAAATGTGTCCAATAATTCGTAGCTCGGATGTTTTCATGGGTTTTGTTCAGGTGGCCGTTGATTAGTTCACCGAGCTTGGGAGTTAGTTTGCAAACGTTCTGCACCAGTCTGCGTGACATCCGTCATGAACCAAACGCATGTTGATGATGTCACCTCACTTTGCAAGCTAATTGCCAAGGTCATCGAACACATAAACGGCCGCCTGATCATACACTGATTTACGGTCTTCTTACATCATGTGTTGACATAGCCCATGTATTCAGTCAGCATTGTTCGATAGCAGCAAGGGACAGTTCAATTTACCCCCAGCAAGTCGGTAGTGAACACACTGCGAAGTGAGAATATTTCGTAGGGTTTGGATCATGCTTATTTATATTTTGCTCTAGCCATGCGGAAGCATCGCTAACGGTCGTCGAAGAAGTTTAATCGGTACACAAAGTTCACACTACACTCCGTCAGCTAGGTGACGTGTTTTAAGGAGTTCTAGGGCTGAAAATTCTTGACGTAACAGTATGGGAAGCAAGCCCTTTCCATAGAATCGTGTGCAAGTGGCTTCCAAGTCGATCGCAGTTTGTACTGGTCCCAACCCACAGTTTCAAGCAAAAGGTGGAATCTGTAAAAGGAGACTCAGTTTGCACAGTTGGTATCTACTCGGACGCAATCGACTGAACTGTTGATTAGGCAAGTTCTGCTTACCTGCCGACCAGCCTTACGGTAGAATACAACCCACGCATTAGCCAATCAGCGTCACGATCAGAGTAGGCCCCGAGACGAGGTTAACACCTGCAGTTATACCAGTAATCCAGATATTAGAGTCCTATTAATTATGTTCACACTGCAGTGGCTACCGCACATCTCGTTTGACAATTGGCACTTTCAGACCGGTGTGGCATTTCGGCAGTCTCAATTCCTTTGGCAATACACCGTGTAGAGTTGTCATGAACTATTTAAAGTGATCTTCTCCCGCTAGGGTGCTCATTTCATTTTTTTCTTGTACTTTTCCTGTGTCCTACCTCTTCCGACTTTTTTTCGAAAAGAGGACATATGTAAACTTCCTGGATTTCACTAGAAATTATTGAATACGGCATATGCGAGAATGAGGGCACTGTGAAATTTCTTCCAAAGAATAGGTAACGAAGTGATGCAGTGCGAAACCGTCACATCAGAATGATTCACGGGAAACTGATAGCCCTTGGCAAAGTACTCCAAATCAATGCGGAACTTTGTCCGTGTGGTCAGTACAGGACCAGGTAGTTGCCATCTCTTTGGTGCCAATGTTTCCATTAATCCAACAACCCTAGGTAGTCTTCGCTGTTGTCCGGTTGCAGCGCTGTAGCTGAGGCAATGACCCTCATGATAATACGCACCGCAATTCTGATTTGATCAACAGGCGACTGTGAATTGTTTTGGCATGTTATAGCAGCAAGTTTCATTTGATGACGTCGATGTGGTTGTGCAACTCATGTCACTGACGGTAATCCACTGAACTTTTTTGTTCGATTGGTTTTAAGTGGTATAAAATATTTTCTAGTTAAGGCCGTCGGACAGAGCTGTCACGGAGACGTAGATTTTCATGTTGCTCGTTCAACTGTCTAGCTAGATAACCTAACTTAGCTTCTTGGTCAACTTCAGCTGCGGCAACTACTGGAGACAAGTAATGCCAGAACAACCAAGGAGGTATGTTACTTACTATTTTACGGAAGTTTTCTTAACTATATCTTCATCCCTCGCTCATTATAACCTTTCACGATGTTCACGACCGTTTTCAACTACCCGCTAAGGCAACTCATACACTGTCGTCTGTTGTCGGCGTTCGTCTATTCGTAAACGACTAGACAGCGCTGGCGACATACAAGGGTTAACACCGTGGTTAAATGAGTGCCACATTTAAGTTGTTTTAATTTCTTTTTGGATTGTTTTACGAATGAATTTGACAGCCTGAAGTGGCCTATTGTGTCAGAGACTGTTACCAGCGCTCCTTTAGATTCAAAATGTCAAAACACGACCTTAAAGGGTGGAGTACATCACATAGTGCTCTCCTGATTCAAAGTACCGAATCGTTACTTAAATGGTTTTTCTTGGACGCGGTGTTTCGAACTGGTGTACTGTGGTTTGAACTGATCGATATGGACCCATTTCTTCTTGGTTCAGAAAATGGCCTTCAGTGTTGCACAATCCACAATCATAACAGAGTGATTGTAACTTGTGTACACTTCCACTGACGTCTGAGAAACATCCGTTTCTCCATTCAGGCGCCACTGGTTTGTGGTATCACATAGTTAGGATCCAGACCACAGGCCGAAACATGGATGGCCTATCAGCAAATCGACTGGTTAACCGAAGTTGAAGGAGTAATGGCACTCTGCTGCGTACGTGAGCGCTAATTACCTAGCTGACCAGCCGCCTGTGGCCAAACAGTTAAGGTCGTGGGTTCCAGACTCCATACTAACGTTTCGTGATACACAGACTGCTGATAATCCCCATTACAGCGCTTCTGGAGTTTTCTAAAATAGACTGGCTCCACTTATTGGACGAAATCTCAACTGAAAAATACTAAATCTCATCAAGCCACCCATAAGTTCCTCAGAGGAAGGTTAATTTCACAGAATGCGTAAAACTTTCATGTGAGAAGTCGTTACTGCAGGAGCCAGTCAATACGTGACTGTGTGGTGCAGTCTCCATGACTGAGGGATGAGTGCAGCTCAGTCCCGTCTGATTACGAGTTAACCACGCTGCTTTTCAGTCGCTGGTGGCCAAATGATTGAGTGTACACACTACTAGCCGGGTAGTCGCGGGTTACGGACTCTCTACTAGAGTTTTGTAAGATTCACACTGGTGATGACTTACAATAAGGATGAAACAGCTCTAAGGTGCTTCTCGGCTTTTCAGCGTAAACTGGCTTTCCGTAAAGGGCGAAATTTTAATTGAAAATTAAGTCTTTCAGTGAGGGTTACATACGCTTTCCTCCCATACTGTCCGACAGTTACCTATTATTGCTGCTCACTTACGGAGCGCACTATCAGAGACCCGATTCAATTGTCGGATTTTAATGGGCACTCATGAACGAGTGAATATGGACTGAATTACTTCGTAATGAGTCCACCGATAACTGGTGAGCTTGTAGAAATTAGTTGCCTCATCGATTGACCTTCAGAAAGCTGCTCCATAGGGTGAGTGATAAGTTGAAATCCATTATGCACATCACGAATTCGGCCCTACGCTTCGAGAGCTCCGTCTATGATGGCTCGAGGGATATAAAATTTTCAGTGCGAATCTCGTGAAACTCTGGTAGGGATTTCGAACCCGCGAACCCCCGGCTGCTTGTAGTTTGAATAATTAATCGTTAAACCACGAACGCCTGGCTGATGACCAATGTTGTTGGTACACATTCAGGTAGGATGTACCAGCACTCATTCTTCAGCTCGGAATCATCTGACGTGGTCAGATGTCTTACCTGACACCTCGAGTGAGGGCTTCTGAGTTAGTTCCACTCATTCCGTGTAATTATTCTTCCTTTAAGCTGCTTTCAAACTGATGGATGTGTGAGGAGGTTTGGCATTTTTCATTTATGCCGAAACAACAAGAGGCAATGTAGTGAAAGTGACGTCATCTCTAACGCTGAACTTTTCTAGCCGGTGGAACATCATCTTGTAGAGTGGGTGGATATCTTTATCTGCAAATATCCAAAATCCCAATTTTCACACCCGCTTCCCGCATCGTCTCTGTATTGTTAACGGGATTCTACCGCAGGTTCCATTCTGGAGACCGGAAAAATACCATAATTGAGTTATTTCCTCCTTAGTAGAAACCTTCAGGAGATGACGGTGATGTTCACGAACAATGAAACTGATAGCAGACTAGTCCATAGCTTTGTCTTGAGAATGTTTTGAAAGTCCAACTTAGTGGCATCACAGTTGCGATAGAACCCGCAAGAATCGATGGATACTCAGGTACCCAGATCGCCCGAATGGGTTGACAGAACCTGGTTCTAACAAAGATTCACACCCAAACTCCTTAGCCACACAAACGATTCGGTGGAAGCCTCGTTTTTTTAGTTAGCAACCTAAAACTGTTAACCAAAGCAAAGTTTGACTAACCCGTTCACACTGAATAGAAATAAGAAAAAACCATAAGCGGATCTAGCGAGGTACACTCATTTACAAAGGAATTCGCTTTTGCGAGAGACTCAGCTTTAACCGGTTTACGATGTTTATGGTTTCGCGCAATCCGTGTTCGAGTAGAACACAAGGTCGACGGAAACTCGGGATGATTACTTGTAATCCGGGTTCGAGTAGGACTTAAGGTCGACGGAAACTCGGAGACTGTGCCTACCTGATAAGCTTCAAGAAGGGTGAAACAGGTCGCGGGCTGTTAGCAAACTTATAACTGAACTTCTCTGGATCCGACCATGTAGGCTGAAATTATCGTCAGCGTGTATTTTGCAAGCGTCCGATAGATTATACAAGCGAAACGTCTGCGACAAACCAAGCTTTTTTTGCTCAGTGGGATCTTTACATTGGTGACGGGAATGTCACTCGAACTGCTGCGCGTACTTGGCTCAAACTTAACATCCGAGTTTGTTTAGCTGAGATTTCTTGAGGTTCGAGCTGCGAAGTCACATATGAGCAGACCTCCGTCTAATATGATATTTCAAATTTCGAATTCATAATAGATTACGTCCATATTTGACCTTTACTGATTCATAGATGCAAAACGAACTGGATAACCAAAAAGCAGTCTATGAGGAAATGGTATGTTTTGTTTCCACCAAGCCAGTATACCTATATCGTTCTTTGTTTTAATTCTTTCTTTCCAAATCGTTAAACGTGGTGTTGTAATTTAGCATGGATTTCGTTGGGTTGACTACCCATTATCGCGTCCAAACAATGGAATCCAATACGGAAGTAAATTCTCCAATCGGTGAGAGAGGTGGGTAGTCCTCCAACAATCCCTGTGTACCTTTGGAGTTATGCCTATTGTTGGTGATTCCAAATGGTAATGAAACAGCTGTACAGTGCTTTTCGGCTTTTCGGTCTCGATTGGCTTCACTGATCGGTCGAAGTTGCCAAATTACCTCACGCTACCAACAATTTCTAAGTAGCTCAGAGGGAGAAAAATTTCACACGAGCGAGTGAGAAGTTATCAGTCAAGGAGCCAATCAGTACGCGACCATTTGATATGGTTTCCGTGATTTAAGGATAAGCGACGCTATATACTGTCTAAGTGTGAGCGTAGCACACTGCTGTTCAGCCGCTCATTGCCGAACCTTTGTGTTCAAACTACTACAAGTAGGGCCGTTGCGGGTATTTTCTGTTTTCAGATTGGCACTCTTTGGTTAGACCGCTTACGCTTCCCGTTAATCATTCTCGTTTGACTTTGTTTAACACGAAGGTAACTCCGGCGAAGGCGAGGATGAAGCCATACCGTTCCCGGGAGGAACACATTCCCAGAAAATACCTGATGTCTGCATTTTATCGGATGAATCATTGAAACTAGGCCCTGCCGGTGCACTTAAGAATGGACACAATGCCTTCTAGTGCGCTGATGGAAGTAGGCCTCCTGTAACTAGTTCTGCGATGACCCTAATCAAGGTCGTTGATTGCTTCGGCATTTCTGAAAGATTATTCGGTTAGATAATGTACCCTTGAAACTAACTGCAGTAGAATTCTCTCAACTATGCGTGAAACTAGCGTTAATTTGTAAGTTTCCGGTCAATATGAGTTTTCAGAATGCTGTCAAGTGACGTAGAACATGAGGTCATATAAGCTGCAGATCAGGACGATTTTCTTCTGGATATCTATCCTCTTGGAAGTATAACCCTAACCATCGGTCACTACATAAGCTAGTGACGATTTTGAAACAGTGGGCCATACATCTTAAACAGCTCAAGGCGACAGTCTGTTTCAATTTTCGAGTTACCAGTCACAAAGAAGCTGACTTGTGTGTCAGAGATGGAGAGAGACAATCGGTTTGTCACAGAAGATCAATTTATTACGGTTGATTTAATAGTAGGTTGGATTTCCGGCTCATACTATATTCCGTTGGTACGCAGTATTTTTCCTCGATGAAAACTAATTACAATGTCACTGGAAACTTTGGCAACCCACAAGTGGTTTCTTCATTCTACTTTTGGCTCGCCAAGTAGTTGCAGGCCCCCAGTTTCCGTTACCATTACGCTCTGTCGGGACCCAAATTGTATGGAATGCGCGAAATACACTTATTTCCAAACCAACTCGTTTTTATGGAAGATTCGACCGAATTTCAGCTGAATATCCTGTTTATGATGTTCTTTAACTGAACCTACCTGGTGAGCCTTATGAAGGGAGAATCTACGATGGGCTATTGAAGATTTCCCAGCAACTTTGTGAGTAGTTTCTTTCAAGTCTGACGCTTACCGTACAGAAACACCTCACGGCAAAACCATGTTGCATGTTCACTGATCTTTTATAAAGTGACAGGCGAAAATCTTCACGCGGGATAATCATTCTGAAGTAGTTGTTTGGAGGCATTGTGCCAGACTAATTGCTGGATGGAAATCAGCTGTTTGGTTTGCCTGACGCGGCGAAACTTCCATCTGAAAAGTCGTCACTACTGTCATCAATCGATGAGTAGCTCAGGGAAGAATAATCTCACAAGACGAGTGAGACTTCCTTCTGGGAATCTGTCAATGCTTACGTGACTACGTGATATAATTTCCCTGATTGGAGAATGAGTGGCGCTTTATGCTGCCTAGTTGTTCAGTTTACTTCCGAATGGAAGTTGTGCCTTTCGTGGGTCATCCACTCGATTGTCATCTGTAGCTGGAAATATCGGGAAAACGACTGCATTTTCGAAAGTTTCGTGTGTCTTTAGAATGCAAATACAAGTTTGAGCGCCATATTCTGATATGAAGTATGATAGGGTCTCTGCCAAATGAGGTTTCGTTTCCATTTCACTTCAATACAGCTGAAATCCAAAGACCGCGAACTGGAAGAACTCAGACAGGTATGTTTGTCCAGGTTCAGTGGTTTTCGTTTCTGTTTCTTTTCGTATCACAATAAGATGATGCACCGGATGATCGAAATTGGTGTTCCATTTTCAAAAAAAAGTAGGCCAAAAAAGAAAATAGACGACGAAAAGAAAGGACTGAATTCAAAGTTGGATTTGAGAAAATGATATTCGTCTAATGCCTGAGTTCTTAGCACAAAGAAGGACATCTTTCAAGGTGCGCGAATTATCAAAATCTTACTTCAGGAGCTCACATTTCTCCTATTGGGTGAGAACTTCGAAGAAACCTTCCTGAAGGCGGACATCTCAGTGGACTGTACGTATTGTGCTTAGGTCGTTGGATTGATGGGTTTAACCAAAGAATCCTGCATACAAACGTAGATAGAATAAATTTAAATGAGAAGAAATCACATGAAACACACAAAGGGTATCTCAGTGAGTTGGTATAGCGATCGACCATATATATATACTTATTTATGTAACCAGTAGTTACATGCACTCAGACAATAGATTAAAATCTCCATTTGCCCAAAGCTTTTGAAAAATTTGTATCCTTAGACGTCCTTTTGAGCTTTCCTCGACGTTGTCTGAACAAACACCGTAAAACAATTCAGTAGTTTTCAAACCAACCTTTCATGAGATAAAGAGACGCCGCATTAAATTACTAGGCCAAATATCACCTCTTCAATTTATTAGTAGTACCTGATGATATAGAAATGAAAGAAGAGTATGTAAAATATAAAATGTTTCTTTTTCAGGACCGGGAACGATTGTCTGGAAAAGTTGAGGAAGTAAGATTCACGTTGGCTGAAATTTTATTTATCTGTTTTTACTTTATGCAACCGTGGAACCGTACTTTGTTGGACGGGATGATTTGTGGGACAAAAAGTCATGTCTGAACAACACTGCTGCATGACATGATCTACAACCGTATCAGCGACCGGTGATTGACACCAGTTTTGATCAGTCTTGGCTACAATCCTCCGAACCGGATTACCCAATAACATCAGGTATTAGATGGACTTCATTACAGCTCCCATCGAGCTGAAAGATTATAGCACATTCGAAATATTGGCCTGTTCGTGCAATACAATTCAGTATGAAGTTATTGTCAGTTTACAGCATAACCTGTGAGGAAAAAAATCCAACCAACCACTTCATACAGACCACCCACTACAAGTCACTAGGGTGTGGGTTTCACTTTTGACAAATCAATTCGGTTTTCACGGGAAACTCAAGTGAATCTCTCGTTTGTGACATTATTCAAATGAATATGCTACACAAAGGCCACCTCCTGTTTCAGTTGGTACGATATTTGAGGCATCGCAGTATATTTTCATAAAGGAGGAACGCTGCCTGAACTTGGTCTAACACTGACGCACACCATCAGGCTTCGATACAAGGCTGTGCGGGTGCGTTGTCTAACCTTAATCAACGCTGACTCGCGCTGCCTGGGCCTTGGTACGAGGCTGTGACGCGCTGCTTATTGAGGGGGCGTTGTCAGTCTGGTCAGCATCTAGCGAAGCTGAGGGTCTCATTAGATTTCGGGCATTCAGCGGTTGCTTTCAGGAATCTGACCTTCCTGACAGTGAACTTATATCATTATGGATGGTGGGAAAACACCTTCGTGTCTCCCGCTGCAACCGGATCACGAAAAGCCGGCTGGAATCGTGGGCTTTGGTTAAAACAGCGTAAGATGATGGTTTTAGAATGTTTGCGGTACATCGGATAGATTCACCTGCAGAATTCGTAACAGCATCCAGATATCCGAACTTGGTTCAGAGACAGCCTATGGCGAACAATATGTGCTGCTCACGTGTGTATGTTTCGGACTGATATTCACACTCTCCCTGCTGAACTAAAAATTTATTTCCGGTCCTATATTTGATCTCACTTGTGTTAGTAAAAGCGGTCGTTCAAAAACAGCCTTAGTGTGCTAAGTGAAACAGATATTCCTGGTCAGGTCCAAGCCCTGAGGACTACCTTACCGTGCCGCGCTCTCATCCGAGCAACATGCATTCTCCAAAGGTCCCAATAAAATCGCAACG